TTATTTTAATTTTATAATTGGTCTAATAATGTTTAAAAACTGCAAAAGAAAAAAGGAATTGGGCTTAAGTCCCAACCGTCTTAAATTGGTTTAGTTCGGTTTCCTCCATGGACTTTGTCAAAACTGAACCAAATCAAACATGTTATTGTAAGTAGGATGTGGATAACGACATAACATTAGCTAAGGGCTCGTTTAGGAGTGATTCTGGATTGATCAATAATATTTTGGGAGATTCACTAATATACCCAATATGGGGGCCCAAATTATAAAAATACCCCATATGAAATGAACTTCATAAACACACTCAAAACCCATTTACAACATAACAAAGAGGCTTTAACTTCTTATAAATTACAAAACTACCATAAATTTCTTAAAACAAGCCCAACCTCAAAATCTCATAAAAATACCCAAAACACTCAATAAGGCATTAAAGTAATTTAATAATCAATATTAAATCCAATAAGGCCAGCTGTCATTTTTGGGGTTTTTTTTGGGTTTGTTTATAGAAATTCAATGATGGAGGGTTTATCTATAATATTAGTTCTAAGAATGGGTATATCACTAAATATCTCTAATATTTTATGGAGAATCACTTCTCCATATATTTAAGTAGTTTTAAGTAATTTTATGGAGAATCATATGAGAGGTGCTTCTCCTCATAATCGCTTAAAATCACTTCAAGTGATTATGTGCTTCTTCCCAGAAGTAATTATGACAGAATGAACCAGCCATAAATAACTAAAAAAACTTGTATGAAACGGGGAATCATAGTCTGCCATATAGAAAAGTTATTATGCGTGACATACTGTGATTAGTCAGAGATAGCAAAATAGTGTTATACTTATTTAATGTAAGTGTTTTTCCTAAATAACCCATGATGCGTATCTTAATCCATAATGTGTTTCCCACGTTTTTGGGTTCAAACCCTGACCACGTGCACGTGTAAGTAGGGCTGCTGTAGCTTGATTATGTATTTATCTGAACACAAGTTCGATCGTACGTACTGTCGCCTTCTCCGACAGGACTCGAATATATGCACCTCAATGCACGGAAACATTATGTCCAAATCAAAACGACGTCGACTGAGTGTTGGTCTCTGTCACTTTCAAGTCTTCACATGCTCAACAATTGAATTTGAAATACCAGGCAGCAACCTTGGCTTGCTCCAAAGTCTTGCCTGGTCTTTTTGGGAAATGCTTGGCAAAAACCTTCAACGTGGCTATAATGCATGGGAGGATGTATACTGAGGGTAAAACATGTACACGTGTCAGCTCCTCCATAACCCTGCCTTTTTCAGAGGTTGGTAGGTGTTTGATGCTGATTGGTAGTTCGTGGGAGAAGATCTTGGTGGAGATACTAGTAGGGTTCTCAAAATAATATGGGGCAGGTGTCTGCTTCTTCTGGCATGAACAAAATCCACCATGCAATATTGCAGAAAAATCTTCAAAGGCATTGCTTAGAGGCACGATGAATGCGAACCATCCACCTAGCATTGCATTTTAGGCAGTGGGAAGCAATGCTACTTATGCGATGCGTTGAAGAAATAGGAAAGAAAACAAGTTATAAGCATTATAATTAGAAACTAAATTAAGCTGTTTCTACTTTTCCTTTTGTGGTCTACTTCTCATGCCACTTATTGCATATATTCTAAGCACAAGTTTAGTGATGAAAATAGTGGTGCCCATCTAATCAAAACTTAATCAGGTAATATTGAACACTGTAGCTAGAGAGTACACCTTACTTGGCCTTAACTTGAAAGGGTATAATGCGTTTTCGATTTCATCTAGTGCGTTAGATATGGTTTGAATGAGATTATCTTGCCATACATATATGATGTTATCAAATCATGGATGTGAATCATATAAATAAACACCTTCTAACAAGAATCAAGATATATATAAGACTCAAATCCGACAACAACAATCTCACAAGATAAATATTAGTTGATGAAAAAGGTGAATGTGTGGAGGACGTGCTAGGTTGATGGATTAGCTACCACACCCATTACCATGCACATGTGTGGCTAGGAAATGACTTTTTGAAGAGTTATCCTCATGGCTCCTAAGACTGACTTTTGTGTGGGGAACAAAGATTGTGTTTTTAACAATCACCCACTACCCTAGCTAGCTTATTCACCGTGTACTAGATGGTGGCGCTAGAAGGATGTTCATGCACACACACACACACACACTATATATATATACTTACTAGCTAACTATATATGAGTATGCTTTTTCGTCCACAACAAAAAAAAACTTGAGTATGCTTTTTATTCAAATTACTCAGCCGTAAAAAGGACTTTCAATTTTCGTGCATAAATAATATCGAGCGTGATCTGAGAGCAGCATAATTACGACATTGTTATCTATTGTAGGAGATCTAGTCGAATCCAGGTAAGGCTGAAGAAAGATATACTGGGACTGAAATTCATAGAAGGCATTATGGTGTGTGCCTTGAGCAAAAGTTGGGGCTATAGATTTCAGATATGGACTATAGATTTGCTCTATGCATTGCATGCAAAACGATGAAGATTTTGAGATCTTCTTCATCCAACATCATCATAAATATATTTTCCCTGTCACTCGGTCGCTTCTTGGGTTGCATTGCATCTATTTATGTATCTGCATCCATGCATACCTGCAGCAGACACAGAGAGAGAGAGAATAGCCGCCACAAAAATTCACACCTCTAGCTAGCTAGCCTATACAGGCATGCATGCACTCTATTGTATATATGAATATTACACCATGTACCTGAACTGTGGGTGATTATTATTTAATTGAACTCGAATATAATAATGTTGCAGCCCACAAGGAACATCCAGACTTTTTCTTGACCTTTTTTTGAAAAGAATCATGGAATGCGTGGACTATACTATACAATGGAATTATGTCGTATTTTCATGAACGAAATTAAGTTGAAAACCACTTGTACAAGAAGAAAAGTATTTTGTTTACCTGAAAGATAAAAAGAAAGAAAGATATATATATATATTGTGTTAACGACTAACTAAATCTGCAGCTTTTGCATCTTTTTTGGTTTGACTTTAGCTCTATATGTCATATATGTACGTATCTTTCCCATTATGCTTATCTACTACATCTTCTATCCAACACAAGTCGGCAACCCTATCTTCTTCAATCTCTTTGAAAATCACAATGCAACAAGCAGATTAATAGCAACAAATAAAGTTTCTGATTCTTCATACCATCTGCAGCAACTTATGTGTATATATGCGTGTACGTGTTTGCTATGTTTATGCGTTACAAAATGACTGATGAATGATGGTTTAGATTAATAAAATAAATAAAGTTATGATTGATTACCCACAGATAAATCTTCTCCATTTGTGAAACACCTTTTTGGCAAGAATTGAAAACTGCATCATTGTACAATTATTGATAATGAAGAAAAAGATAGAAAAAAAAAAGATAGAAAAGAAAGTAGGATCATTGGATGCTTTAATTTTGCTAACACACGGGAGATGCTATCTGTTGAGCAACCATCAATCAATCGGCGGTCGAGTAGATAAAAGATATTCTATGTAGCCAGCTGTGTTCATGTTTCCAGGTAGTCCAATTCTTTTTTTTCTTTTCTTTTTCTTTTCGTTTCTTTTTTTCTTTTTTTCTTTTTGGCCACGTAAATGAATTTGTGGTTCAGAGCACAAATTCATAGCTCCTCAACCAATTATAAGACGATCCCAGTGGGACCCAAATCAAAGTCTCAACATGCCACGTCACAATTCCAGCTGGCGAATCTCCAGAAGTGCTTGAATTATTGGTTAATTTTTGAGGTATTTAGGAATCTACAGTCCCTATGGGGCTTTGGTTAGACTCTGACAACTCTTTACTCCCCCCCACTATTATTCTTGTTCTTGGTAAAATTGATGGATCAAATCAAATACTTGAATTTTGCACAGTCAAAGTGGGCTCAACAACATCACCAAATTTCTTCCATGATCTTTTCGATCTCTGTGGGTCATCACAATATCAAAGTGTGCTACAACCAGACAGGCCGATGTCGGTTCAAATATCCAGATTTCTCAGACCCCAAGTGCCTCATAATTCCTAATCATTAGGTTTATGTGGTTTTCCTTCAAATTAATTTTCAAGCATATTCTTGAAAGTTTTGCTAACAATAATTCACCATAGAAAAGAATCCCTTCTTAACCTTTCATTTTCTCCTTTGCGGCCATTCTCTACTTTTGGTTGTGATCTCAATTTCGTCTTCACTGTGTTTGGTCTGTCATGCCCGTTTTATTGCCCCTTCTGTCTCTCTCTTCCCATGTCACCTATTAGAAGAGGAGATAGATAAAGAGAGGGGCCGCAGTGAAACAGGACATGGTAAGTATTTCTCGTCATCCATGAGATCACCACCATTGTCTGCTTCATTGGATTCTTTTTTCTTTTCTTTTTTTTGGATCCGTGTTGGTTTTTCCACCACACAACGAGTTCCATGCACATTTCTGTGATATTGCTAAGCAAGCATGAACTAAAATGAAGAAAATTTCTGTCCACTTTACAGACCCATTACAAAAATACACCAATGCCTGGCAAGAATCACAGGTATGTAATGTAATAGCTGCTGATCCATACATGGGTGGTGGCAAACAAAATTGGACAAAAGACAATAGCTTTTTCCAATCTTATAGAACGAATGCATAAATGGTTAGATTATCGTTCACACAAGAAAAGCTAGCTTATAAGATAGTTTTACCACTGCAACATAATTTTACTATTTAGAGATGCTGCTAAAATGTTAAACTTCATCCCATCGAGTACATACATGTATGGAAATTTGGGATATAAGAGAAGAAATCCTCTGCGCCATGTGGCTTCAGCAGTGACTCATGATCAATGGGACTCTGGGCAGCATATGGAACAAAAACTACCCAGGGGGGAATGGGGGACTGTTAATCTGAATTCGGTTGTATTGCGGACTGCACTCCACAGAAGCTCATTCAACACCTTGTTTTAATGAGTAAAAATGATCAACTATCATGCCCTTTGTCCATATGTATGTTCATGAATTGGAACTCCTGGTCCATATATCAAACGGCATCGCTCGTTAAATGAACCAACAAGCTTAGAGACCACCTCCTTAAAGAACACAGATGCCACCTGAGACAAAAATCATTGCAACATCAAAATGCTCGATCAGCAGTTCATCATGATTTTAAATTCCAATCCCCAAATTTCAGACCATGCAGGCTTCAGATAATTAATATGTGGTCCATCTTACGGCTGAAAAGTGATTGAATAATTGCCACAGAACACAGTTAAAGATTGAAAAAAGGATCTCACCTGTCGGTAAATTGGCGATTGGAACTTGAAATCCACCAAGAAATAAAGGTTGCAAGATCCAGGAACAGGTCCCGGATTGAATTCCCAGATGTTTATCAGATGATCGAAAAGGGAACTATTTGACACAGTGGTCTAGAATAAAACAAGAAAAAAAGATTGTCATAAATAGGAATCAGAAAACAAAACAAAAAACAATAATAACAATGTAAAGAAACAAATTCATGGTAATAAATCAGTAAGAACCATTTTCAAAAAAATGTATAGTTAGAAAAATAACATCAATAAATGATACAAGATACTAGTGAAAATCAAAATTAGGCCACCCAATGACTCACAAAAGAGACAGTACCGAAGTTTTTCTTTAACACCACCACCACCAGCAACCTATTATTGTTCTTATTTATCAAGGTTTAACCGAAAGTAAAAAGTAACTTTTAGGAAGACTTCCATCAAATTTTTCTATCCCAAAAAGCATACAAACGCTGGTACATGCTATGTCACTCCTAAGCACAATATCCATTTACATGCCACGTTAGTGCTCAACTTAAAAACTTCAAGTGTGCACCTTCAGTAGGTACATGGTCTTCATTCTCTAAAACCCAACACTGCCAAATGCACAATGTCTCCAAGCCTCTAAGTGTTTTAGCAATATAAAACCCAACCCAAACTCCTTAAACTAATCCAAAGAAAATCCTCACACTCCCCATTAAAACCTAATGTCTACCACGCATGGGCAATGCCAAACACTTGGTGTCACATACGGTCACACTTGTAAGACTCAGGTATTTTAATTTCAAAGTTATACAGATCAGAAAAGATAACTTGTGAGCCATTGCAATACAATAGATTATCTGTCAGCAAGTAGAAAAGTGAGCAAACCAATGCTGAAGAAAACTTATAGAAAGAATCATATGAAACTTGGAAGGAAAATGATTGCCTTTATACGCTTTGCTCTCTCTAATTCGACATGGGAAACGTAACTTTCGACCAGAAATTTAAAACCAATCTCCAGCTCAGCATCAAATGATCCATCCGGAAAGGTTTTGATTATGTCGGACCGCTGACACCAGGGGACAAAACCATGATACAAGTCTACAGCAGCAACCACATCGAACAATTGCTCTGGAGAATACCTAGAATCCGATGGTGCATCAGGCCATGCCTCTCCCATATAGTAATCAAAACGGGAAAAAGAGCAAAATAATGCAAAAATGAAACAGGGCATTCAAGACCCAATTTTTCTTTCCTGGTGAGCAATTAGCTTATGAAGTAAGCCAATGTAAAAAATTGTAATATTCCAAAGCATATCAGGAACTCCATTGCCATTGGATTGCAACAACGAATTCTAAATACAAGCAAAAGCATATAAAGTAGCTGACATTGGGAATGATCAGAACGCAAGAAAAGAGTGAAGTTGAAGCTAAATTACCCCAAGACGCGCTTCTCCTCATAAACTTTGGATAAAACACCGCCTTCTTCACCGTCGCCGCAGCCGAGAAATTGCCTCCGTGACCTATAATTATAATCCAGTCGGGAATCTTCAGTCCACTTGTGGATCGACGATGGGGTTTCTATGCCCGCTATGTTACTAAAGCATCGAACCGGGTCGTATTTCCGGCCGGACCGGATCAGATGCCTCGGGCCGATTCTACGGGACAGTAAGGACCCCACAGCCTTCGAGGTCGTGCTCGACCAGAATGGCGGCATTGTGAATTTTAACGATTGGGAAACCCTAATTGAAAGCCCCAAACTTTTGGAAAGATTGAGACGAAGGAAGCTGAGGAATTTTTTGAAAATCGAAATCCAAGGGGCTAGGGATTTACGTGAGAAAAGGAAGGCGGCGAATTGACTTACCGCGAAAGTCTCAGACGGCAAGGGATTAGACTCGGGGACTGGAACAAAATCGAATGATACGCATGCGTTTTCGGCTTTTCGTCAGGGTTCGTTTTTTATTTTTGGGTTAATTGATCTCGCGAATTTATTTTATGTTTCATAGAGCATCTCCTAAGAAATATGCAAATGAAATCCAGGTGGTATATTTACCTTATGAAAAAGGTTGATTACTTCAAACAACTAGCCAATGCAATTATAAAAATTATTTTTTTATTTTTTATTTTTTATTCTATTTTATAGAAAATATGTAAAAGAGTGGAGATGATATTTTATCATAAAAAATAAGTGGGGTTCAATATACCTATTTATTTTGAAGTAGGTAACATTGCCTTATTGGGGAGACGGGGTATATTTTGCCTACTTATTTACCAATTTCTTTGAAACATGAAAATGCATATGTGGCAAGGCATATAAGGTTTGCCTACTTTTTTTTACCTCATCCTTTGGAAATCAAAAAAACTTTTTTGTAACATAAATATCAGTGTTTTGCTATTCCCGGCCAATAATGCAATGACATATGAAAAAGTTATCCCACGTGTCATTGTGTTACTGGCCGAAAATAGCAAAAAGTGATATATCAATTGCATAAAAGTCTCTCTCTCTTGAAAATGCTCGACATCAAAATATTGAAATATCCATCCATGACCTTGGTCCCAAAAATGAAAAATTACGTGACCCTAGATATCAAAGCAGTTGCCGTGATCAATCGGGAGGGTTTTGGTTGAGTGTTTGACTGGAGGAAAACGTGCATGTATTGGTGGTGTATACACCCTTCTTTCTCCAAATATTAGCACACATGATTAGGCGATAATGTTAACCACATATCACACGTAAGTTTTGCACCTAATGAAAATAACTTACTTATCATGAAAGAAATAGTTATGGTTGATACATTTTTATTATTTTAAGGTTTATTCATACTATTGCTGCTTCTGATGCATTATCGAAACTCATTTTCACATTCGACATCTCACATACCTCGTGATTCAAAATTTTGCACGTCCTTAATTTGTAATCTTTTGTCACTCTAGAATTACACAAACCATCATTCATATTCCATTCTCCATACACGTTCTTACCACATTTGTCTCACTTCCCACATGTCCGTCACAACTGCATCAGTTAAACTGTTAAAACCTCAGATCAATCTTGGATGTCACCCCAACATTAATTACATGAACAATAATTTCTTGAACAGATGAATTCTGTTCTCCCCCACACAATGTATATGTGTTTGTGACCCATTTGCAAAATCAATACAACTGTATACATTCATCATGGCTAAGTACAAAATTCATTGCAGTGCAGAAAGTCCCGATCTGCAGTAGAATCAGCATGTCTAAACTGTGGGTTTCTGCCTCGCCAAAGAAAAGAAAAAAATGAGACACTACATTCCACCAAGTACAGCAGTGCTAGAGCTTAGCAATGGTACTAACAATAATGACTAAAATGGGAGAACAAAATCTGTACAGGCATAATAACAGCACGTTCTGCCGCCCCGTTCCTAATCTTGTCGCACTGATGCCACTCGTACTAATGTTCAAAACATATGAATAAATGCCTTGATTAATCTCTCTCTATCTCTATCCCTCTCTAACATACATGTGAAAGTATGCCTCTACACAACAACACTTTAAAACTTGGTCCCTAGTGTCAATATGCAGTCTCCATCCATTATTCATAGGTTAGAACGTAATCATACAATGCATCCATTGTCTCTTACAGGGTCTCCTTTCATCTAGCTCTAGAAATATTATTCTTAGTTACATCTTCAGGTATCAGCAGGCTTGCGCAGTGGAACAACCTAAAAGTGCAGATAAGAGAGAACAAAATTAAGACTCCAGTGCCACATGATGGAGAACAACCTAAACTTGGTCTTAGGCACGCATAATGCATTGTACATTACCTGATCGTTATTTGCAACATCGAGTATAAGAGCTTTCATCCTCTTAGCATCACATGAACCAAGAGTTTTTTCTTCTTTGATATCTTCATCAACAAAGTTCTGGTCTGACACTTCTGCAAGCATAAAAGTAGGATTTATGAATTTTTGGCAGCTAGAAGATATATTTAGACGTCTTATTTCAGACAATTTTAGAGTGCAAGTACAAATTATGATCTATTTAGCCTCAACAAAATAGAATATATTCTTGTTTTGCAACACTGAAAATAAATCTCACGTACGAAAATGCATAAAAGAAATCCAACCACATAACAGGCTTCCATTATTCTCTACCATTGATTGACATAACAGTAAAAACTATGTCTCTGCCATCCACATCCAACTACTTCATCTGTCATTTTGTTTATAAGGTTTACATCTTATCCTTTCAAAATTACAAATCTCCATAAATTACTCTAGATGACAGAATGGAGTTGAAGGGTAGGATAAAAGAAACAATACTGGATGAATGAGGCAAGATATTTCACTAATCAATTTAAGCATTTGAAACTCCATTCAATCAAAATCCATGTCAGGTGAAAGTATTTGTTTCTTCTGTGTAGTAAAGATTGTGTCAACAGAGAGCATATGATGCAAGACAAGCACACTAAAACACATAATCAATAGCGGGCAAGGAAAAAATCATTGCGAGACACAGTTAGGCAAAATCTTTCAGCAAACACACCAAAATATAGCTGAGAGCACCTGTGTTGCCTCCAACCATATCCTGATGGCACAACTGAGAGTGAGATGCACGAAAATGCTTTGAACAAGTAGCTGGTGCACAGGGCATTTCCTTCTTCCCAATTGAATCAACTTCCTCACTTACAGATGCAACTGCTTCTTGGACAATGGGAGATTCAACTTCTTTGGTCTTGCAAGAAGATCTGAAGTGCAGCACCCACGGATTTGCCAGAAGATCACCACAAGATCCATCTGCTTCAGCTCTTACAAAATTGATTTTCTGCCAGCAGCCACCTCGAAGTACCTTAAACTGCAACAAACAATTAAGTTCCAATTAATTCACATATTTATATAATACAATCGAATAGCCATTACGAGAAATAGATCAGACTCAAACCTGGCCAGAAGGGGCACGAGAATTGAACTGGGGTTGCCTTGATGATTTGGGATGCAATAAACTTCCCTTTTGTGAGTGCCAACCACGCGAATCCATGGAACTATACAACTGGTTAACAAATGATGCTTCCATAGATTTCAGGTACATACTGTGTTTCTCATCCGTCCATTCTGTAGACATAGTTTCTGTTGCGGCCGGAGTACCCTGATAAAGTTATGTACTATGATCAGAAATCTTTAAATCAGACTACACACAAATACACACATACAAACATACACATACATGTACATATGCATGTCTTTGCAGAAAACATCTCCCCTTTGTTGCCAGTAAAAAAGAGGTTAAAAGTTGTCACTAGAGAAACAAAAAAATATTTAGACAACACCATCCTCTCAGATTTTGAAACACAAACCATTTCATACACACAATATTACTTCCATAATAGTGCAAAGGGAAGCATTGTCATTCCTATATTTCAATTATTCCTTACCAAATGAGCAACGGTATAACAAATATCAGACATTATTTTCATGAAAAGAAAGAAGATAAAAACCCATAATTTCAAATTAATAAAAGACGACTTTTCCATTTTGATCGTTACAAAAAAGCTTGTCAATAAGCCAACCCCATCCCTTCCAATTTCCATTAGATCCCAACCCAAATATGAAAATAAATCACACAAAGTAAGCGTCAATTGGGTTTTTTGGGAAGGGACAAGGAGAAACCATGTTCCAATTTTCAAAAGAAAGAAAAGAGAAACGAACCAAAAGATCAAAGTACGGATTTTTCTGCAAATATAGAGCAGAAAAGTACCAGGTCTGATGGAGGGTCCTCGTCCGGCGCAGCAAACTGGCTTGGCCTCTCAAGGGTTAACTGAGAAATCTGCAACTCTCTCGCCCTGAAATTATCCATAAATTACAACGAAAACCCAGCTCTCGAAACTCTATGGCTTTTCAAAGGTCTAGAATTCAGGTGATCTAAGAAGAAGAAGATGGTTGGAATTGAAACGAAAGGGAATGAAGGCTTTGGAGGCGGTGATGGGAACAAAAGAACGGTACAGTTGTCACGCCTTTTACACGTGTCATGGGGCCAAGGCGCTGCCACGTCACTCCCAGGTTTTGATGGGCGCTGTGGCGATGCCAAGATATTTATTGGAGCCTCCAAAATATCTCCTCTCTTTTGCCTTCGGCTTTGGGTTACGTGGCACCGCCCTTTAACTGTCACCTGCGTCGCCTCTTTTCGCGCTCTTTTCACTTTCGGGTCGGGTTGTTGGCCCGACCCCTTTCGTGCCGTTTTCGTCTTTGATATTTCTTTTCTTCCTTGTAATTTCAGTTTAGAGGTACAAGATATTAGTTAATAAAAACAAATTTTAAAATATTCAAGTATCTGAATTTGGTGAGGTCCAATGAAATCACTGTGATTTATTAAAGATTTCGAAATATAGAAGAAAAGGACCTGTCGAGATAAAGAGATGTTGTCACTTTATTGATAGTTCTACCTCACCAAATAATCAATTCCTTTTTCTTTTTTTGTTCGTTTAAGGAAAAGGAAAGAATTTTTTTTTGTTTAGGGGGTTTTGTAAATATTTAATGGATATTTGGGATTTTAAACCTTTGTTTATATTGATAGAGGTGGAAGAGCTCAACCAACTAAATTATATCTTATTGGCGAAAGAAAAACATTTTAAAATTAATTCTTTGTGTTGAGTAATTATTGTGTAGTACAGTAGTAGTACGACCACATGTTATAATATAAGTTGATATTTATTGATATTATTTTTTAAAATAAGAAAATATCCATCATGTCGTCCACCCATATTATAACACATATACAAACTACCACGTGACCGTACTACAATACCATTCTATAATTTATTATAAGTGTTCTTTTGGTGTAGAATATTGAAGATAATATCATAAAACAAATTATAGACGAAATATAAAGAAAGAACAATAGGAATTTAAAAAATGTGAAAGATGTAGATCGGCTAAGAAAATATCTTGAGTGGGTCCACATAATTGAGCTGCCATCTTGATCATACAAAATAATTTGGGAGATAATCGGGCTAGTCAGAGTCAGATCACTGTATGTAATGAATATCTATCCTAATTCTGCATTCTAGTATATTTATTGGATGAGAACTTCTGCTTTACATCATTACAATTAAAAGCAACTTCGTTTCGTCACCACTTTTGATAACATTGGAGGTGGGGAAATGGAACACGAAAACTCGAGTAGAAGTAAATTACATGGAGGGTTCGGAGATGCATGCATGTATCAAAGTTTGTTGGTGCCACGTGTAGTATAACAATTGGTGAACAAGTAGATAAAGTGATGTTTTTTTGGCTAGAACAAGTGGATATAAGTACATTCGTTTTTCCTTCTCAGCCACTTTGTAAATTCAAATTCAAATTCAGGACGAAAGAAAGAAAAAAAAATTCAAATCCAAAGCATCCATAATGTAATAGATATTTCGATGATGTATCCACTCTGATATACAAAACTGAATAAGATGTTGGTATAATTAATGTACAAATTTTCCTTGTACTAAAAATAAGGGAATACATATGTTATAACAAAAAACTCAGGAAACAGAGGAGGGAGGGTAGGGTTGAATTTAAGAATGAAGGTTTTTACAGCAGCAGTTATACATCAAGGCGTATTTGGGGTGGAGTGATAAAGAATACCACCCAAGATCATATCAACTTTGAGCTGACCTCTTTATTCATGTCTTCATGTTTACAACAAATCTTGCATAGCTTTAGCATCAACGGCTTCTGTTGCAGATTACGCGCCAGAGGAAAATAATAATTCTCGGTCCCTTACAATACTTAAATTTCCTGCTTCTGATCTCCCTCTGGTATCGCAGTTTCTTGCAAGTCAATTCTACCTGCATTAGCAGGAAGCAGAAAAGGTAAGGTGAAAGGAAGCCAGCTGCTGGTTGCCAGCTTGTGCTTGTAAAAAATTAATAAACGTACCTAATAAGGAAATCAGAGAAGGGGCCTTTGCCGAACCATTTGATCTCATGTCTGTACCTACAATGCATGCCCAAATTTTAAGTCTAGGAACAATATTTGCAAGAGGCGTGAAGAATAATGTGACATCTTCATAAGATATGATCCATGCTCAAGTCCGAATTCTTTATCATATAGAGCTCTCTTCATTTGTAATTTCAGATCATATGCCAATATGGTCAGACGTGTGATGAGAATTAGCATCAAAATTGATAAAGGAAAGCTATCTAACTGTAGAAGCAGCAGACCTGAACTTTCAAGTGATCTGAGGACATCTGATTTCTTGAAAGTGTATCCAATGAAATTGGTATCTTTCGACGTTAACATCTGCAATACCAAACAAGCAAAAGATATCACATTAGATCTAATATTAGAACAATTGCACAAGCTTCACACAAACTTAAATAAATAGGAGAGAACATGAAGTCATTACCTTCCGCCAAGGTCCCACTGTTGGCATTGTAGATGGTGGGCCCTCTACCTATAATAGGGAAAAAAGGGGTAAAAAAATTAAAAATAAGATGGCAACTACTATCAATATGATTTGGCTTTGATTTAGCGAAAAATATGCTTAAAGATAGAAGTGCGGACCCAAAAAGATAGTACCAAGGCCTATTAAAAAAACACAATTTGAGAGAATATCAGCCTTTTTCATTCGAATAAATCATGTCCCACTAAAAAAGATAGCAGATTCCAACTCATTGATTTTCAATGAACTCACTTCAGGAAACTTTTCAAAATTCTGCGTGTCCAAGTCTCCAATTACTGTAGGTTTATATGCAGCTTCGATTTCATACAGCCTGTCCCACTGAACACATCTGAACCATGGATGGGCCTGAGAAAACATTAGCTTTTAAGTGAACAAACATCAAACAAGGATATATTACAACATTGTGCTAACTGCTAACATGTATGAGTTAAATTTTGTTAAGAAGCATATGGTTATCTGGAACTTTAATAGTAGAAGAACCAGATGGTTATCTGGAACTTTACTAATGCATAGTACCATAACTATTTCAACACACCCACCAAGTCATTACTTTAATTTCTTATGTACAGTCACTACTATCACAAAAACAGTAGTTTTCTGAAGTTTTAACATACTTGTAAAGAACATCATTAATTCTTTGAAACCTGGATACCTTAATTTCTTCTGCTCCATGTGTCCCAAGCCTTGATTCAACGTCACATAACAAGTGACGGATCAGATCCTTTGCCTCATCCGAAATTTTTGGTTCGTCAGGAAATTTCAGGCATGTTCTCCAATTGATTATCTACCCAAAAAAAAAGAAAAAAAGGGTAATGTTATCTACTCTGCAATTATAAAGGATTGCGTCAAACATCTACGAGAGACAACCATGATGATATTACCTTGCGGCATGTGATCCTTGGGTCATCAGAGCAGAAGGGAGGATAGCCTACAAGCATCTCGTACATGATTGCCCCTAGGGACCACCAATCGCACTCTATTCCATATCCTTTCTTGAGCAACACCTCAGGTGCCATATAGTCAAGAGTTCCCACGGTTGAATAAGCCTGAACAAAATGGATGATCTTTGTAACTCACAACATGTACAAATTAATCACTCAACAACTACAAAATTAAGAAGTTCGAAATTTCAAATTTCCAATAATCTAGGTAAGAAAGGACATCACTGCTCGATATGCATGGATTCTAAATCTAATATTTTGGATGAGGATTTGAAGATTTGAGGAAGAGTTGATAAGAAAATGGGATAAATATTACCAGGGCACGACGATTACGTTTCCATTGTTGTAATTGTTCTTTTGGCATCAACCAAGGAACCTTATCACAGCCAGATTGTCCTTCAGTTTCAGATATGGATTCCTGGGAGGTTAAATCATCATTTTCCAGTAACAGTGTAGAATACTTGTCATCCAGAGGTTTACACAAGCCAAAATCTGAAAGCTTCAAATGGCCATTTTTATCCAGTATCAGGTTATCTGGTTTTATGTCCCTGTAAGAAGAACCCAGTCACAGCACATATAAGTTTACATCCTTTTACTTCGTAACAAGTACATTTTCAAAATTACACGTGTTTTCGTGTGTGTGTGTGTGTGTGTGTGCGTACGCGCCTTTTGTGTCTATGAATATGTTTTTTGAGAAGAGCCAGCAAGGAAACTCAAATGTGTACAACATCCAAATCATCTTTATATTGAAGTAAAAGATACTATTCATTTATAAAATAAAATAAAAAGGAAAGAAAATAAAATTTGTCGCTATTCATAAAAAAATAAAAAAACTGAATTGGTGCACAATTGTCATACCTATGAATGTAGTTGTGTTGATGGATTGAGTGAATAGCCAGAATACTCTCTGCTATGTAAAAACGGGCAACATCTTCGGAAAGAGTATCTTCCCTCATCAATAATGTCATAATATCACCACCAGGTAAGTACTCCATGATAAGGTATAAGAAATCAGAATCTTGAAATGAATAATGAAGTTTTACAATGCACCGGCTATCAACCTCCGCAAGCAAGTTTCTCTCAGAACGCACATGCTCAACCTAAAAGGCGGAAATAAAATGTATTAGAATTATTAACAATATATCATGATGCACAATGATATGGTACATGGTGCAGTATCAGGACATAACCTAAAGTTCTTTAAATTAGAATATTGTCACCTGTCCTCGGCTAAGCATCTCAGATTTCTTCAATTTCTTCATGGCATAAATCTCTCCTGTACCTTTAGCACGACATAACCTTACCTGCGTTTGTTAAACACTTAAGAGATGAGTGTCATATTTTATATGTAACAACGTACATCCCATTTCTATATCTATATGATCAACAGAACTAAAACCATAATTCTATAATATACATAATACTATCAAAGCTACGTCAAGGGGCTTCACATGGTCCATAAAGCTAATACAAGAGGTATCTGAACTGAATATAAAACCTTTTGTAATGAAAACTGGAAAGAAAAATACCATGTACGTGTGTTTATAAGGGAAAACCAAAAAGCTCTGTGAAGTAAAGTAACTCGATATTTTTACATACCTCACCAAATGCCCCTTTACCAATGACAGTTAATTGCTCAAAATCATCAATTCCGATTTTACGTCTTTGCAGCCTCATGTATTCTGTTTCTCTGCGTTCCAATATCCTCATCATCTCTTCTTGTTCCTCAGTTGGTATCTGATCTTCTTGTGCTTTCCTTTGAAGTGCTCGGCGTCTAAAACAGAGAAATATGTAATTGAGTTGAGTTACAAAATTATTCTTGTTGTCCAAATTACAAGAAAGGTCTGCCCAAGCTAAATAGTCTTTCTCACAGCACTCACAGCAACATTGCTCAATATATTATTGCACTTAGCTATTTACTGGAACCGAACCATAAATGAGAACAATGGAAATTAAAGTTCACAGCTGAAGTTTCCTAATTACCAAACAGAAACCGTAAATAGCAAAGAAAAAAGGAAACTATGATTAAAAGGAAAAATTGAAGGAATTTAAAATTGAGCATGGACACAAATGCAGCACATATAACACAACATAATGCGTATAAAGTAGCAGAACTCTATGCACCAACCTTCAAATGGACACAAATGATAAACGCACAAAGTTAAAGTGCTAACAAGCTGTCACTTCAAAATTCGATCACAATTTGACCCAAAATCAATCGAAAACTTGGAAACGAATCAGAAACTACCTTTCTTTGCGATCCTGTAGTCCTTGTAGATAGTTCTTGTAGTGATTCTCAATGAACTGCTTCGCCGCCGCCGCCTTCTGCCTCGTCACCGGCGACGAAACCGACACGTCGGGACCCGAATCGATGCCGCCGAGCCGATCCGGCTTCAAGTTGAGAGCGCCGAGCCTCATCGTCCCATCGCCGCCGTCCATTTTTCCAACAACAAACCCGATCAAATCAACCCCGAGGAGCCACAAAGCCAGATCAAAACCTCAATCCGTGAAGCATTTCAGCGACGAAATGAAGAAGCGTCGGCTGCAAGAATTCGAGGAGAGATCTGGCGAGCCAAGTGTTTGCGAAAATGACAGAGTAAGAGTGCAAGCTAAAGGATACTCGGAAGTATGCACTGGCATATGCGTAGTATATGTAAATAAAATCTCTATTTATATGCTTGGCTGGATAATATAAAATGGAAAATTAAAAATGTTAATCTGTTTTGCTTTTGTTTTTGTTTTTGGCTTTCTAGGGAATGGAGTGCAATCGACGCCATCGTTTTGCTCGCATGAACTGGAATCTCGGAGGCAAGTTTTTTATTTAATTATTTTTCATTTCTGACTTTTTAGAGAGAGAAAGAAAGAGGAGAGAGAGAGACAAAAAAGGACACTGTATTGGTGGATGGCTGTGTCGGCGGAGATCTATACATTGCAAATTTAACAAGCAAAGAGGGTTGTGAATCTGAATTGGCTGTACTGTACGGGTTTCGATCCGGTGCGTGAGACTTACGTTTCGAGCCTGGACTTGCTGGGACCGTGTCGTGTTAGTTTGTGCCGGTCTGCGTTTTGGGATTTGGATTTAGGTGACCCGTGGTTTGATCAACTTTTCGTGGTCCCGGGGTCAAGGCGCTGAAACGTGTGCGTCACGAGGGGATCGTGTGGGGGAGTCTGATTGGTTTGATCATGACCGTAGGATTATGATTGGACTGTTTAGGAATTAAAAAAATCATTACCATTTTGTGCATTTAATCATGATTCTAATTGTTAGAGCCAGCCACTCAATTGTTTTTTTTTCCCTTCCTCCTCAAAGTGCAAAGAATTCTCACTCTGTATGCCCATTGGGTAATTATAAAAGAGAAAAGTTCCTTGAAAGGTGGTCTATAGTTTATCACTCATAAAAAATAGTGCATGCACCAACTTTGCCATTTTTAGCCATTACATTGCCCTTTGATCACTTAGAAAATTCTTTGATTATTCTTGCAAAAAGGGCCAACAGCCCTAAGGAAACCTTAGAAAATCCATTTGAATTTCTTTGCAATTTTCTCATTTTAATATTGCAAGAGGTTCTAAGTTGGAATCCTCTTTTTTAAAAAAATTGCAAGATTTCATCGTTAGACAATTAAAGGTAAACTCAAAAAGTGTGGTCAATTATTAGGACTTGACTAATAATAATTGCTGAGAAAAATTGAATTGCATCAGAAAGGTTAAAACTATACACAACCTTCATTGAATCTTCTAGTATACAAGTTAAGTCCTTTGTATTTACATTTCTTCATGGAAGAATTTGATTTTGCAACATACAAATTGTTAAACTAATTTCAGTGTTGAGTAATAATTACCATTCCGGTACTCATTGAATTGTCTTCTAGCTCATCAAGCTTTTCTCCTTGGCTGTTTGGCTTCACCATCGAGCTACTTGTGGAACACTGGCTTTTAGATTTTATCGAAGCCCATCTCCAAATTCTTGTGTTGATCAACATTGCTCGTATGCAGCTCAAGTTCTGCATATGCCTACCCGCTATACGCACAACTGTGACGAAAAATGCAGATGCACAAATGAAACCCGAAATTAAGAAGAGGCCAGAGAAAGGCCCAGGACCTATGGAATCTTCATTCTCCAACTTGATTGAAGAGGAACAGTTATAAGAGGAGAGCATTTGTTTTTCTAGTTGTTCCACTTGTCCTCTCTCATTGGTCTCTAGGATTGCCTCTGATATGTCAAAAGCCAAAGGAGAACCCTTCGGAAAAACCTGAAACATTTAATGAAAAATGCAGGAATTAGATAAGTTTAGAGGTGATTGAAAATGAGTAATGTTTTGTAAAATATGACATGTTTACTTAAATGATTCTCAGTCTACGTGTGTATCGTATTTATTGATCGTATTATGGATTGCATATCTCACGTAGATGGAATTCATGTGCAAGTACATTTTGCGTGTGGAGAGGCTATCAAAAGAGGAGTCAACAATGTATATCAACCTTACAATAGTTTTATTTATTAAAGATTGGTTAACAAATTAAACATAAGGAAGGAGAGATACTCACAAATGCAAAGCCGCTAGGCTTGTAAACTGGTCCTGAGTTGATATATCCCTTGCAGTACTTTGCAAGGAAGACTTTAGCATGGGGGGCAACAAAGAATGCTGCAGCAATATCTTTCCTCTCAAAGGCATTTGGGTAGTCACTTATTGAGGCAATGCTTTTGATATTTTCTGGTTTGAATTCTAAAACATTAATCAAGTATCTAACAATAAAAGAATTACCATTGCACCCAACAGTTGCATTTGTTCTCTTAAGTGTTTCAACATCAAGAGCAGACGGCTGAACTCGAGAGACGGTCATCATGGAGGTGAGGCTTGCAGTGAAAGTAGCTGTCACAACTAGAATCACCACCAACCATGGAGCCAGCACCAACCGAGCCCAGTTGCTCTGAACTCGTTCTCCTGCATATTTTAGATCGACATCTAGGATTTTAGCTTGATATACATTGTCCGTCCATTTTCAAACAGCGTAAGCTTTTGGGATTCAGTACTTACTCTGTGCAAAGAACAGGACAGTGACAGAGAACCAAAGGATGGCCCCAATGCCCTTTAGTTCAAGGTTGTCTCCATGTTCATTTTCAATTAACCAGACGACAAAGCATACAGAAAGGTGTGCCACAATCATGAGGAACCACATGCTTTTGGTGAAGGTCTTCATGAACATCCATTTTTCCTTCAGCTTATCTGGCTTTACAGTGACTACCATCACAAGTCCAGAGCTCACATATGGCTGTGAGAATTCAACAAAACGATACCGATCCGCTATGACTTCTATATCACCAACAGCTGCATCCAAGCCCTATTGTACAAAGAATCAAATTGTCATGCTATAATAAGGTCAAATACAGTTCAAAAGAAGAAGAATTTCTACCTTGTAGTAGACCTGTTGCACCAATTCATCATATGAGCCATTGAAGGGAAAAAAGACATAAGGCAATTGATAAGGGAGATGTTTGACTGCTGCTTCAAAAACATCAATTGAAAATCCAGATATTTTTGTCTCATTCCTCTCCTGATCATAGCTTACTTTCACAAATTGATTGAACGCACCCCTTGCAGGGATCCCAATCTTTAAGGGTCTTTCCCCTTCAACTGGTATCCACCCCTTTGGGGTTGCTAGCAAGCCACCAGGCCAATAGATTGGACCCAAAACTTGAATAGAACCATTCTCAATCCTCTCTTTCATGTCACTGTGCTTGATCAAGTTCTCTGAGAAACCAAATCTTGGTGACCAGAATGCTATTTCTCTGTAGCTTTTGCCAACAATATTAATGATTTGAAAGGTTGGCGGTTGTGATAGCATGCCATTTTTGAATTCTATCTTGCCACTTAGACCTTGGAAAGAAGTGGACACAATTTTTTGAGACAATTCTTTTGTGGTAACATTTTTCATGGCTCCAGCAATCGCCCAAATTGTGTCATAAGCTCGAAGAGCAAAGATACTAGGACTATAATTTTCTTCTTCTTCAAGGTATTGTAGTCCGTATATTCTGCGAAATCTGGTTTTGAACCGTCTGAAAGTCTTTGTAGTTTCTATGAAGTTGGTTTTAATACCAACAACACCCTGCATGTTGTATTTGATAGAAGAATCAACAGAATCAAGAAGGCTTGCAATCTCATCTGTTACGATCCATACATGGCCTTTGTCCATCATGCCCAATTGCTTTGCCTTTTCAAAGAGAAGGACAGCTGACTGTAAAGAAAACTGCATGACTATAAAAACCCGGTTGCTCTTGCTTCTCAACTTCTTAAGTTCCTTGTCAACGAAGCCATCCGGGTCAGAGAGAGAAGAAAGGGATGGGAAAGCTCTGTAGTGCTCAATCTCTGAGTTGACTAATCTAAGTGAATCAGAGAGGATACTAATCATGATTGCAGAAGCGGAGGAAAGTTCATTTTTGTGCTCGTAAATTGCAGTCACCTTTCGCCATTGGAAATGACCAACTAAGGCTGCAACACATTGCTTATGGAAGAGGATATCGTTAGCTAATTGGAAGAAATTTGGCCATTGACGAGACTCAGTTGGTGGGCTTATGGTAGTGGAAGGAAGTGATATGATGGGAAACATTTTGGTGGTATTATGATCAATCTCAGTAACTAGAGCTGCTTCCTGCATGGTCAGTGTTCCAATTATGGCTACAACTTGTTTGCTATTGAGCAGATTGATTGCTGCAAAACAAACATACATGTCCATATTTAGACCCAACTAACCAAATTTTGATGATATTGGCATGCAAATTCAAGAGCATTAAACGACTAACGTTTATATCAGTTTGTGACATTAAGTATATAACTTTACCACCAGCTATTGCTCCAGCTGAATTGCCTTGTGAATCTTTAAGGTGCAAATCCAATCTAGCGCAGGTTGAGTGGAAAAGGTCTTGGATAGCCATTTTCATGGCTATTTTCTGTTCCTTGCCCACACGAGAGCTGTAATCAACAACAACACCTATTCCTGCAATTGTCTGTTGAGTTATTTGACATTTATTCCCTCTTCCACTAGCCTTGGCTGAACCCACCACCAACAACAGAAAGACCAAGTAGAAAGAGAGACTGCTAGACATTTTGCTTAGGTTGGCAGTAGAAAGAGAGACTGCTAGACATTTATTCACTAATTAAAGAATGCTTCTCTGTTTTTGGACTTTGTAGGTTGGCCAGTCTCTCTGAAATTTAACACATTATATATTTAATTTAAGTCAGCACCAAACATATCTTTGTTTTTCTCGAAGCTAGCTGAGTTGAAAAATTGGCCAGGTGCGGACTTTGTAGGTTGGGCCGTCAAAAAAGCCTCCCCCAAATGTAAATAGCTCCAGACTTTTTTGAGGTCTTCAGTTCAGGTCAGAACCAAGAATTCAACACAAATTGTGGCCTCTGTCTGTCTGTATCTGACAACTTCCTGCATACTTCTGAGAAATATATATGTAGATGAGTAGATGTTTACTATACGTGATAGAGACATTTCATACGACCAGTTAGGAAGCTTGGCTTGAATTTGGATTTGAATGAAGAAAAAAAAATTCAATTCCTTGGATTTGTTTAGTTGTTCCTCACCAAAGCAATTTGTTTAGCCTGTTTTTATGTTTTAGAAAAATAAAATAAGGGTTGTATAATTTGTTTTCTTTACGGATGCAAGATTTTTTTTCAAGTATAATGTTCATTTTAGCCTTCATACACAGCCACAACCCTTCGGAAATTGAAATTATCCAATGCTCAACTTCTCATATAGTTATGGCACATTTAAATACAATTTTTCAAATACTTTAACTGCTTTTCTTCACAGAGCTACTAGGAGTGACAATTCTCACGACAATACTAAAAGTGATTATTCTCACAGCACTCAGCTATGTAAAATTCCATCTCCAAACCCTTGTGTTAGTTAACAGGGTTGGGTTGCAGCTCAACTTCCTCAAGCACGTTTCCAGGAAGAAAATTCCTCCAATGCTCACGCACTAAACGCACAATTGTTACCAAAAATGCCAATGCACAAGCCAAACCTGCTATTAGAAATAGGCCAGAGAAAGGTCCAGGACCTATTGAACCATTGTTTGAGTTGATTGGAGAGGAGCAATTATAAGAGGAGAGCATTTGTTTTTCTAACTTTTCCACTTGTCCACTCTCAGTTGCCTCTAACATTGCCTCTGAGATGTCAATAGCCAGAGGCGAACCCTTTTGAAAAACCTGCAGCAGAGATGAGAAATGCAACATTATCTTATAAACAAAATAAACATGGACTACACTACTTAAAGAAATGCAGAGGAAGGGGTGAAACTTACAAATCCAAAACCGCTAGGCTTGTGCACTGATCCTGTTTTGGTAAAGCCGGCATTGCAGTATTTTGCAAGGAAGACTTTAGCATGGGGAGAAACAAAGAAAGCTGCTGTAATATCCTTCCTCTCAAAGGCCTCTGGGTAGTCACTTATGGAGGCAATACTCTTGATATTTTCTGGTCTAAACTCTAAGACATTAATCAAGTACCTCACAATAAAAGAGTTTCCATTGCAACCAACGGTTGCATTTGTCATCTTTAGTGTTTCAATATCAAGCACAGATGGTTGGACCCGAGAGATGGTCATCATGGAGGAGAGGCTTGCAGTGAAAGTAGCTGTTACAACTACAATCGCCAATAGCCATGGAGCCATCAGCAACCGAGCCCAAGGGTTCTTAAATTGTTCTCCTGCATATTGTACAAATGTAGGAGATCATATGAGACTGTATGTTATAGAGGGTGCCAGTAAGGTGAGAAGTAATATAAGTATGATTTCTTTAGTTTTTATGAGTACTTACTCGGCGCAAATAACAGGACATCAACGCAGAACCAAAAGGCTCCAATGTCCTCCAAGCTACGTCCATGTACAATTTCCATTAAGCAGGCGACCAAGCATACAGAAAGGTGTGTAACAAACAGGAGGAACCACATATCTCTGGTGAAAGGCCACACCAACATCTCTGTTTCCTTCAGCTTATCTGGCTTCACAGTGACTACCATCTCCAGCCCAGAGCTTATGTATGGCTGTGTGAATTCAACATAATGGTACCGATCTGCTATGACTTCTATATCACCAACAGCTGCATCCAAGCTCTATTTTTTACGTAGAGTAAAATGGTCATCAGTATATATAGAATTGAGGGCTGCATAAACAGCATTAGTACACAAAGCCAAGACACTTCAATGTTGCAAATGGTGGTCATCTTAGGAGTGGAATTAGTGCAGAAGAAAAAGAATCTCTACCTTATTGGAGACCAGTTCCACCATCTCATCATATGAGCCATTGAAGGGCACAAACTCGTAAGGCAATTGATAAGGGAGATGTTTGACAGCTGCTTCAAACACATCAATTGAAAATCCTGAGATGTCTGTCTCGTTCGTGTCCGGGTCATATCTTACTTTCACAAACTGGGTGAATGCACCCATCGCAGGAACCCCTATCTTTAAGGGTCTATCCACATCAACAGGTGTCCATCCCGTTGGGGTTGTCTGTAATCCACCAGGCCAATAGATTGGACCCAAAACTTCAGCAAAAGCATTCATATCAGTATGTTTCATCAAGTTTTCTGAGAAACCGTATCTTGGTGACCAGAATGCCATCTCTCTGTAGCTTCTGCCAATCACATTAATGATTTGAAAGGTTGGTGGTTGTGATAGCATTCCATTTTTGAACTCTATCATGCCACTTAGACCTTGGAAAGCAGTCGACAGGATTTTTTGAGACAGTTCTTTTGAGGTAACATTTCCCTGTTGCAATATTTTAATGGCTCGACCAGTGGCCCAAATTGCATCATAAGCTCGGAAAGCGAAGATACTAGGACAAGAATATTCTTCTTCTTCAGGGTACCGTAGTCCATATAGCCTGCGAAATCTGGTTTTGAACTGCTTGAATGAGGTTTCTGCAAAGTGAATTTTAACACCAATGACACCTTGCATGTTATACTTGACAGAAGTGTCAACAGAATCAAGAAGGTTTGCAATCTCATCTGTGACAATCCACACATAGCCTTTGTCCATCATGCCCAGCTGCTTTGCCTTTTCAAAGAAAATGACAGCTGACTGCAAAGAGAACTGCATGACTAAGAAGACCCTATTGCTCTTGCTTCTCAACTTCTTAAGCTCTTCTTCAACAAGGGCCTCCGGGTGTGAGACAGAAGGCAAGAATGGGAAGGCTTGGTAGTGTTCAATATCTGAGTTGACTAATCTAAGTGAATCAGAGAGGAGAGTTATGATCCCTAAATGGGAGGAAAATTCATTATTGTGCTCGTAAACTGCAGTCACCTTTCGCCATTGGAAATGACCAACTAAGGCCGCAACGCATTGCATATGGAAGGCAATGTTGTTAGCTATTTGGATGGAAATTGGCCATTGAAGTGACTCTGATGGTGGGCTCATGGCGGTGGAAGTAAGGGATATGATGGGAAAACTATTTTCGATCTCAGAGAGTAGAGCTGCTTCTTGCATGGTCAGTGTTCCGATGATGGCTACAACTTGTTTGCTACTGAGGAGACTGATTGCTGCAAAACAAAAGTACTTTTTCATTTCAGAGAGAAGTAACCAAAGTTTGCTGAAATTGGCATGCAAATATAACAGTTTAGAAGTGTAGATACAACTTTACCTGCAGCTGTTGCTCGAGCTGAGTTCCCTTGTGAATCTTTCAGGTGTAAATCCACTCTAGCGCAGATTGACTTAGAAAGATCTTGGATAGCCATTTCCATGGCTACTTTCTGTTCTTTTCCCACTCGAGATCTGTGATCAATGACACAACCAACTCTTGCAGTTATCTGTTGGGTTATTTGACATTTGTCCTGAATTCCATCAGGTTTGACTGAACTCACCAACGATAGCAATACCAAGAAGAAAGAAAGACCACCAGACATATTGCTTTTCAATGCTATTCCTTTGGAGAATAATGAGAATATATAGTATCATGTATCTTATTGAGAGCTTGAATGAGTTGACTTTTGGTAGACGAGCAATCAAGAAAGATTCAAAGCTGAAATTTTTTATTGTCGTTGTTTCCATGACACTTCAAAATGATTGTACTGGGTTCTGCATTCCCCTGGCTGTTAGCGGGCTGTAGCTAATTCTTTCTAGTTGAAATTTGGGTTTCCTGATTTATTGGGTGCAATATTTTATGAAAGTCAACATATCATTGTTTTTCTGGTAGCTTGGTTTTGCTTATTTATTAAGACAACTTCCTGCATTACCTCTGAGAAGAATATAGGTAGATTCTCAGAAATAGATTTGTAGATGAGTATGTGATAGAGACATGATAATTGTTAAATAGGAAAGAAAATTTCAATTCTCAGGTAACAAGCTGTACAGCATGAGGGCAAGACATAGAGGAATGAGAAATGAGCTCCCAACTGGTTTGAGGTCTTGAATTGAAGTCAATAACCAAGCTTGGTCTTGCTTCTTTATTAAGTACTGCCCTATATGCATATCAAAGTCAAACAAAATGCGTCTCAGAATGGTCATGCAAAAAAGCTAAGCATACAAACAAGTGAGGGCCTTGTTTATATCAGACAACTTCCTGCATTGCCTCTCAGAACTATATTTGCAGATTCTCAGAAATTGGTATATAGATGAGTAGATATAAATATATGTGACAGAGAGTCTAATCTATGAAGACCCTGTTGCTCTTGCTCCTCAACTTCTTAATCTCTTCTTCGACAGAGACATTTTGAGTCAGGAGCAGAAGGAAGAGATGGGAAAGCTTGGTGGTGCTCAATTTCTGAGTTGAATAGTTAATCGGAGGGACAGCTAGGGTGTTAAATTCGTGTTCATGTTGCATTAGGGTCAACACAAATACGACACGATTATTAATATTACATGTGTGACGGTGTGACACAAGATAACACGCACAACCTATTTACAAATTATTTTCTCTAAAACTAATCTTCAAGGATCATATATAGTATGAAGTTTTAAGTAATGTTTAAGTAATTTATGCGTATATTTATCATGTTATAGGTATTATACTCGATTATTTCTTGTTCTTTGCAAGTCGTCTCCGAAATTGTGATCCCTAGGCACTGATGGAGAGTCAAACAATTGACCGTTGACCCAAGCCAAAATTCGGAATTGGCTTTTGGGCTTTGGGCTTCTGGCAGCAAACCCAGGCTGGCCCAAAGGATTGGAGGTAGAGGTGGAGAGTGGAGAACCGAGCGGGCATTTTGCTTCTTTATCTGCTAAGCATCTACAGGCGCTGACTGTGACTGATAATGGGTCTTCAAGGCTTCAACTTTGAAGATGAAGTATGAGAATTGATAACTAAAAGAGCAGAGTTACTTACAGCAGAGCTGAAGCTAGTAGAAGCTAGGGCACAGCCATGGCATCTCTCTCTAGATCACCGCCACTAGTCCACCACCAGATAAACTCCCTCACTCTCAACCCGTGCCCCGTAACTCTATCCTTCCCTTTCCTCAAAACGACGGCGCTCCAGGCCCGTCTCTGTGCCCTGAAGACCGGGGCGGACGGAGGCAGCAGAACCGGGAGGCCAGGAACGCAGGGACCCGACCCGGGATTGCTTCGGAAGCCGGTGGTGTCGTCCGGGAAGGACATGGATGGAATTTCGGATGAAGACGAAGGAGAAGACGGGAAATGGGTCGATTGGGAAGATAAGATTTTGGAAGACACGGTTCCTCTGGTTGGGTTCGTGAGGATGATACTTCATTCTGGGAAATATGAGAGCGGAGATAGATTGAGCCCTGAGCATGAGAAGACTGTTCTTGAGAGGTTGCTTCCATTTCACCCTGAAGCTCAGAAGAAGATCGGTTCTGGGATTGATTATATCACAGTAAAGTCTCTTCCTTTATTCAATTCTCTCTAATTTAGCTTCTTTTACTCTTCTGGGTATGAATTTTGTTGTGCCAAATTTAATAATTGGATATTTCCATATAGGTCTCCGTTTGGATTGCTTGATTGCCCAATTTTTATTTGTTCCATATAACTATAGTTTTCCATAGAAGAGGGTATGAGTAAGAGAATTTGGGCAACTGAGAATTTTGAAAAACATGAGTTATTATCTATTTGGATATGCCTGTTACTTTTGTAATTAAACTGTGTATATCAATCATTTCTGTTTTGCCATTGATCAGACTGCATTGCTTTTGAATTTCTACGACTTTTATCTTGTATGAATCATTCAACTCTGGCTTATTAAGGATCATCCATCTTTTTCTTTTTTCCTTCTAACAACTCGTCTATAGGAACTTGGGGCTTATGTTAGCTTATGCATGTAATCTTTGTCCTCCATCATCAGATATGCATTTTACTAATGCTTCCCCATTGAACTCTGGCACTCTGGCACTCTGGTGTGGGAGTGTTTACGCTCCATCACTCCAGTGCAGAATGGGGTTGGGGCTCAATCACTCTACTTCCCTTTAGATATATGGTTATCTGTATTGTTTCTGGTATGAGCTTCACCAGTGAATGATAAGTAAGAATTGTTACTTGTTACTTTCTGGTGTTCAGAACACATATAATGAACAGTTAGTTGACCGAAGACGTTTTAATCCACTCCTAGAATCCTGAAATGTTGAAAAGTAGGTTGTGTGATCTCAACAACATGCTTCCAAAATGGTGGCACTTGACATCAGGCAGTCATGTTTGAATTCTAAAACCAAATATGGAAATCTTCTTCTGCATTTGATACCTTGTCAAACATGAGCAACTTTTGGTTTTCTTAAGTATCTGATATTAGTGTTTTACAAGTGAATTGGATTTCCTAAAATGATGCAAATTTCTCTTTTTGGGTTGACAGGTTGGTTATCATCCTGATTTTGAAAGCTCAAGATGTTTGTTCATTGTTCAAAAGGATGGAACATTGGTCGACTTTTCATACTGGAAGTGCATAAAGGGGCTGATCAGGAAGAACTATCCTCTATACGCAGACAGCTTCATCCTCAGACATTTCCGAAAGCGCAGACGCGGTTTATGAAGCCAGATAATCAAACCATCTGACTTTGTATAACCTGTATGTTAAAGAAAATTTTTGTTGCCTCCATATTGCTTGTTATATGCCAGTTTAAATTGTCAGATTAAATTTCAAGAAAGTAGCAGTAGTAGATATTGAAAATTCTTTCAAGGTAGAGAGATGCACCTGTTACAATGAAACTACGGCAACAAAAGCTGTGGCACAAAAACTGTATTTGGCCTTTGATATATTCTCTTAAGTGAAATGGAGTGGGTGGTACTCTCTCTCTCTCTCTCTCTCTCTCTAAAAGATCATTTGGCGACAAGGGGATCAAGCATGCAATTAGAGGGAGAAACAATTTCATGCAACAGGGATACACTTTTTGATACCTCTGTCAATAACGCAATGATACGTGAGATAATTTTTTCACATGTTATTAATCAGGAATAGCAATTCCCGTTGCAAGTAAGTTTTTCTGAATTAGAGGACCCAGAAGGCATTCAATCTTCTAGATTTTCAGTTTCTTGTGACTTCATCACAGCCAAGTGCCAAGCAAACAAAGCTCGTTGAAAATCTGCTTCCTGCACTTCATAAACACGGACTCCTTTGTAATGGCACATCAATCGACTTCATGCGAGGCTTTTTTCTTGGATGGGATGAGGCTTCGTAGACACCCATTTGTGTTGGTGTGTCTGATATGAAACACGTATTCATTATGCAAGCATGCACTCACATGTCACCTAAAAAAAAGAAAGCACTAGCACCTGAGAAATGAGAATGGTTTTTTTTTCCTTTCAAAATTGTGGGTTCATGTGGAAGAACGTTGGCACCATGTCATGAATAAAATACTACAAAACATAACTGCTATAAAAACCCCAACTTTTTCCCCAACCACGCCTGAAAAGCTTCCCAAATTACAACTGCTACCAGTAATTTAAAGGTTGCTAATTAAAATAAACAGGACCTAGAGGGTTCTTTTGAATGCGATAGGGAGATACATGACGGATGAGTGACGACAACAAGTCCAAGTTTGCAAGCTCTTTTGACATTTTGTAAGAGATATGTTATTTGCATTTTAAAAGGACGGAAAACTCGCCCTTTATTGCTCGAAGAACCCTTTTATTCTTTCACCAAGACTTTGAGTAAATATCTGAATTCAATGAACCAGTGAGTGAATAACAAAGAATAGAATGGTACATGATGAATTTGTCGGGTTGTGTTCCTTTAGTTGCACATTATCTTGACATTCGCTTTCACAGGGATAAAATTCCAACCAAAAGAGGAAAATTTATGTAAGCAGGCACTGTAGCAAAGGGTTCGCTTAAGGCAATATTTTAGCACAAGGAAAGGCGCATGCTTGACAGCTTTTTCCATTTTCTTCGCTTCCAATCTCAGATTGCCAGCCATGTGCCTTCTCTTAATATTGTCAATTCTAATCGATGGGTGTTGTGTTCGTTGGATTGACCCAAATTTTTGGTGTGCTCTCAAATGGTCTGGAATTCAAGTTCTCGTAGTACCCGTGTGTGTGAGTTCCCTCCTCTCCTTTCTTAATTTTGACATAATATCGTTAATTCATATCCAAAACAATCATAATGCATGTGGCTTTGAATGCGAAGATGGCTATGTACTGATTGTCCTTTGCAAAAATGGCCTAAATTAGTCCACAAGCAAAACCCTGCATCCTCATCCACATCTTCCCTTGAAAACTCCACCTTATAAGACAAAATAATTTGCAAATTTTTTCTTCTCACTTTCCCTGGCTTTCTTTGGACCTTAAGTTGAAAATAACTAAGATCATAGATTTCAATGGATTGAAAATTGAATGATGTTTCTCACTAAAAATAATAATAATAATTCCTTTTTTAAAATTAAAAAAATGAGGTTGTGTGTGATCAGACGGGCAATCAAGTCTAAGAATTCACACCGTCCATGGATAAATTATAGGTTTGTGTGAGCAGATAATGAGACTAGATTGTCAATATCAACAGCTTCTATTGGCTTCTTACTTTCTTCTTTTGCTCAAATATAATAACATGAAAGGGCCTCCATCAGCCAATTATAGACATACAACTTTTTATAATTGCGTGTGCTACAGTGTTCCGATCAAATTATTTTATATAAATTAGTGTTTCATATCATCAATTACTTAGCTGACTTTCAATATTAATCTTGTTTACTCTTTGGATCACACTGACTTTTCAACCCTACCCTCACATGTCCGTACTAAACAAGTTCTATTTCAAGAAATTTTTTTAAAATTTTTTAATAAAAATAAAATTATACTTTAATCTAATTTAAACTATAAGAAAGAAGATTCGAACTTAAGTGCAAAACGGGGAAATACATCAGCTCTAGCTAACTTAGATAAACTCATATCTACTTTTTTAAACAATTGTTATTCATGAGATTCGAATCCATTTTTTTTAACAAAATGAACACTTAAATGTGGCTAAAAGTAAATAAATATTGCCATTTGAAACCTCAACTTAATTAGTAAATGTAAATTTATTTTTATAGGTGTGTCGACAGCCCATTTGGCCTATGTTTGGTTGATCAACGGCCGGCTCTTGTACTCGGTCCAAAACTTTTAAAAAGATCCACTACCTAACTTTTTATTTTATTAATTTTTTTTTTAAAGGAAAACTTTAATTCGATTATTTATTTTGTAAAAGCTTTATGGACTGACGGTCTTGCCCTTGCCCATCATAGTCCACGGCCCACTGCGCTGGGAGCTATTGTTGCATCTCACTCCTCCATTTATCTCTACCTAAAATCCACGGTTTACTAATTCTTAGGCGTTCAATAAAATTACATATAATAATAATTAGTGAGTTGATTAAGAACAATGAGAAGGGCATTTTTGTCCAACCGGACAAGTTTAGAATATACTTGTGCTGGTGTGAAAATATCTGAACGTTTTGCGCTGAGCCTGACTTTTGTCGACTCAGAGCTTTCACGTGCACCAGACAAGAAAATAACTTTTTAGACCCAAAAAAGAAAAATAAATCTTAAATAAATAAATAAATAAATTTTATGGACGATATTACCCCGGACTTGCTCTGATCCAATCGCACCTAACGCGAGTGGGACCATGTCCTTTTTGTGTGAGCGTACTACAATCGCTAGTTCTTATCCCCATCCCCACCACTATAATTCAAACGACCCCATCCAACCCTTCATTGCGAGCGACGTGGACGGCCAGGATGCTCCCACATCGCCTAACATGATTGGTCAAATGTCACATCAAATCCTCTCTACCCCATCCTGATTGGTCCACGCCGCCCATTATTATACTAATTTCTGTATTAAACAATGATAAGCCCCAACCTTCCCCACTCCTCGTTGTCTTAAAAGGCAAAGGAGGGCAAGGGGACAACAGACACTTGGCGCATCCACCAGAGCCCTAAGAAGCAGGAGGAACCGCAGCCACCAGACCACCACCAACATTTTTTTCAAAATTGCCCGATATAGAAGGAAGGTAAAAACACACAGCATCTTCAAGTAGAATTTTTTGCGTTTTTTGCATTTTGGGTTGATATCATTCTTCAAGTTTCTGTCTTTGCTTCTTGTTCATCTGCTTCTTGATCTGTTGATCTGTTGTTTTGTTTTGACAAGTTTCAGTCTTTTTGAGTTTTGTTTTGCCTGAAAAATTTGAGCTCTGGTTGCTCAACGAAAACTCTGTGACCTGGAAATTGATTAGGGGTTAGCTGAAATTGAGTCTTTGTTTGGCTGAAAGTTGACAATGTTAAGTTCCGTGAACTCAAAGGAAGCTCTTTTAGTAAACAGTCGTAGGAAAAACAAAATTGACGAAATCTGAAGTTCTCAACTTTTTTTTTTTTTTTTTTTTTTTTTTTTTTTTTTTTTTTTTTTGGTCTATGTCATGATTTTACAAAAAAGGATACCAACATGGGAACATTCAAGGGATTTGGGAACGAGCCACCAGGAATCAACCCATTAGCGAGGCAGTCTTCGATCTATTCGCTGACGTTTGAGGAGTTGCAGAACACCATTGGAGGCTCAGGCAAGGACTTTGGGTCCATGAACATGGACGAGCTCTTGAAGAGCATATGGACGGCTGAAGAGACTCAGATTATGGCTCCATCTGGTGGTGGAGCTGGTGGTCAGAATGGGCTTGGCCTCGGTGGCGGGTCTCTGCAGAGACAGGGCTCGCTGACCCTGCCCAGAACGCTGAGCCAGAAAACTGTTGATGAGGTCTGGAAGAACATCTCAAAAGAAGGGACTGGTGCTGGTGGGTCTAATATGCCTCAGAGGCAACAGACCTTGGGAGAGATGACTTTGGAGGAGTTTCTGGTCAAAGCTGGGGTTGTTAGAGAAGAGGCTCAATTAGCTCCAAAGCCAGCTAATAATGGTGCTGGTTTTTTTGGTGACTTATCTCGTTTTGGTAATACTGGCGGTAATTTGGACTTTGAGTTTCAGCAAACGAATCGTGGTGTCGGGGTTATGGGGAATAGAGTTTCTGAGACCAATAGTCAAGTTCCTAATCAGGCCTCCAATTTGCCATTGAATGCTAATGGGGTTAGATCAAATCAGCAACAACAACAGTTACCACAGCAGCAGCAAATATTTCCCAAGCAGCAACCTGTCACTTACAACACTTCTCCATTGCCTATGGGACCAAATGCTCAACTGGGTAGTCCTGGAATGAGGGGTGGGATTATGGGAATTGGTGATCAGGGTCTGAATGGTACTCTGGTTCAGAGTTCAGGGATGGGAATGGTTGGGTTAGGAGCTGCAGGGGCTGTTCGAGTGGCAACGGGGTCGCCTGCGAACCAGTTGTCATCTGATGGAATTGGGAAGAGTAATGGTACTGATACGTCGTCTGTGTCACCGGTGCCTTATGTGTTTAATGGTGGCTTTAGGGGGAGGAAAGGCGGTGGCCCCGTGGAGAAGGTTGTGGAGAGAAGACAGAGGAGAATGATTAAAAACAGAGAATCAGCTGCCAGGTCCCGAGCTCGCAAGCAGGTGAATATGTCTTTGATTATTTACTGCTTTGATAGGCATATGGTTTCAGCTTATAGTAAATTAAAGCTATTAATTTTTAGAAAACAGAGTTACCAGAATTGTGAAATGTAATAAATAAAAAGATAAATTTTTGAATGAAAACGTGAAATGTTATCAATTTACTCATCGTGCTTGAATGATGGGGTATGTTTGTATGAGTTGGCCTTTGGACACAAAACAATCGTAGCTGCCATCTTGACTGTTTAAGATTTGTGGACTGTATGTTAAGCCAACATATGTGATTGGATTCAAATCAATATAATTACCACCTCCCAGTAGAAGACTTTAAGTTGATTCCAACATGCTGCCAGGTCCTTTAGTCGTGGGCAAAGACCCTTATGTATGCAGCGTTTAGAATCGAAAAGTGTTGCTGACTCTTAACAGTTAGACATTTCTCGGCCTTTTGGCTAAGATCAGGTGTAGCATCTGTTATAATCGGTTTAATAACTTGACAGTTTTCAGTTATAGAGGAAAACTTATGGTGGATGAAAATCGAGTGACTGAAGTTCCAAGAATGTCGAGAATCGTGTGAAATACACTTTCACCACATGAGGGGGAACCCAGAGCTTAATATATTAGTCTCTTGTTATAAGAGAAATTATGTACCGTTCTCTTTTCCTGTGTTTAGTATTTTCTAGAAATAATTATTCTGGAGAAGGTTAAAGAGGAACTAATATATAATGACATCAAGATTAAACAAGTTCATCTTGTTGTCGCATTATCAATTTTGCTAGACATTGACCTTCTGCATTTCTCATCTAATGACTTTTTCTATCCCAAAACTTCATGAAAGATTCATGCGGGAGAATGGTAATGTGATAGCGATTCGACATGACAAGAGATGAAAGTTTGAGAAGTTACAGTCATGAGAAGTTTTAAGGATCCAGTTTATTACAAGGTAATGGAACACTTGTTTAAGGAGCATGACATAAAGTCGGGTGTATGATGTCAAAATCATTAAAAAGTTGAATAAGTTCCATACCTTTTGATCTTAGTTCTGCTTTGAAGGATGCTACACCTGCTTTGAAAAATTGAGATATACCATCTCACAATTTCTTAATGTTTCTTATATATTCTTTCTTGTGCTTCTGTCAGGCTTACACAATGGAGTTGGAAGCCGAAGTTGCAAAACTAAAGGAGGAGAACCAAGAGTTGCAGAAGAAACAGGTTTGTTTTGTTGTTGTGTCACATAGTTGTTGGAAACACGAATTAACGGATGTAATAAACTTACAGTGTTTGACCCTTATTTACTGTTCATTGGTTGCTGCAGGCTGAAATGATGGAAATGCAGAAGAATCAGGTACTTTGATCTTTCTCTTAAATAAAAAATTGAAATGAATTCAGGAATGATGGTTGCATTGTTGCTTCACCCAAAAAGCATACCTAGTAGTTGGGTTAAGTATGTTTAGTCGAAACCTGTAGAGAAAATTTTCAAATCTTAACTTGGGAATGGTATTCGCCTACTAGCAGTCTAGCATGGAATCTGCCAATCCTTTCCTCTGGAATTGGGTTTCATATGTACATGAACCATTCATGAGCAAGTGTGAAAGAATAAGTCCCAGCTTTTATTTCCATGTTTCCATGCATTAAAACTAGCTGGAGCATAAGCAATCTGCCAAAAGTACAATCTAAAATATTTTCAATCTCTGTTGCAGTATTTCTACTATCAGAACGACATTTATAGACTTTTCTGCAATCTGATGTAACCAGTTGCCATAGTCGTATTTCTCAAACATGTAGTTGTGGGGTGTTGAAGAATTTTTAATTGCATGGTAGCATGTTGCTTATAGGAAGGCTATGAGATAACAATGAGTTACACCAACACATGCGCGCGCACACACACACAAATGAGGTCCTCAGATTAACTATTTATTTAAAGAAGATCATGAATGAGGCTACATTGATACTTTATAATTGGTCAATTTTTGGAACTTGGTCACTTCACAGGATATGGAGATTATAAATCTTCAACGAGGTAAGAAGCGATGCTTGAGAAGAACGCAGACCGGTCCATGGTAAATTGCAGAGGAGGGAAGAGGATTCTGATTAGATGGGCTGTACATATTTCAGGAGCATGTCTCTGCTGTAGATTTGAGAGGTTTAGTGTGCTGTAGGATGAACTTACATCTATATTTTTCTTCATATGCTTTCTCCTTTGAATATTATGAGTAGAGTAGGTAGGGAGGGGAAGCAAATATGGTCAGTTAGGAGATATCCTTTGGTCCATATTTCAGAGCATATTTAGTTTCCTACATTAGTCAAACAAATATTTTAACAGCATATCTTGTGTGGTACCTCAAACCATTTGTGGTATTTTTGGTTTGTTATCTCTTTTTTTATATATTAAATGTTATTGTTTTAATTTTTGGACAATAAAGTTGTGAAATAATCAAGATTCAAAGATGTTCTCAATACTGTTGCTCCATAAGCTCGAGTTCACTGGGACAAACTATTTTCTTATGAGGTCTTCACTTCTTGGGGCATGGTTTGAGTTAAACTTACTTGTTAAAGGCATACAAAACTGTAGTCTGTGCATCCAGAAAACAGTTCTGTGAAGTGATGCCGTAAAATATACTAGAACTCATGTCACGTGATCTCCGTTTGGAAGGATACTATCCAGTGAATAATCAAGAGAAGTATGCACAATAATCAAAAGGCTTATTATCACAAAACGTTTTTGAGGTTTGCGAAATTATCAGATTGCGTCCTTTATGTGTTTTTTTTGTCATTTATGGCCCTTAAGGTTAATAAGCGTCCTCACAAATAGTCATTACCGTCAGATTTCGTCAAAAAGCCTGTTAAGTTGATGATGTGGCACATATGTGGGTCCTGCATATCTAATAATATGACGCCACGTAGATTAAATAAAAAATACATTTTAAAAAATAATCTCAAATTATAAATCATTAAAAAAAACTTTAAAAAATTATAAACCAAAAATAAATAAAAAATCACCACCTCCTCCATTTCACCAAACCCCCACATCCTTCGTCCAAGAAAAAAACCCCCCGTATCCAGCCTCCTCCATGTCCCAACCTGCTATCCCAAATCAACAGCCAACCCAAACGTTGATATGCCAGGAACCTCACCCACTGCCCGTCTAATCTCCACCACCAAAGACCAAACTTGGATGGTGGTTAGTGAAGGCCAAATGAGTGGGTTGGGTGGGCTTAGTGGTTGTCTGGGTTTGCTTGGAGGGGAGTGGGGTGGAGAAGAGAGCATGGAAGAGAGACAAAAAGGGAGAGAAAAGGAGGAGGTAGGGGCAGTGGTGCGGAGGGTGGGTGAGGATAGGTGCGGCTGTTGGAGGTGTGAGAGGGAGAGAAAGAGGAGATGTGGGTGGGAGGGAGGAGAAAAAGGGGGAAGGGAGAATGGTGGGGGTTGGAGTGTAGTGCGATGGAGAAGATGATGGTGATTTTGTTTTTTTTTAATATGTTTTCTTTTCTTTTAAGTTTTTTGTAAGTTTTTTATAAGTTTCAAATGTTTATTTTATTTAATCCACGTGGCGTCATATTATTGGATGTGGGACTCATATATGTGCCACATCATCAACTTAACAGACTTTTTGACGGAATCTGATGGCAATGACTATTTGGGAGGACACTTATTAACCTTAAGGATCATAAATGACAAAAAAAAAACATAAAGGACGCAATCTGATAGTTTCGCAAATCTCAAGGACGTTTTGTGATAATAAGCCTAATCAAAATAACATAAACAATCAATCCTCAATCTTCAATCTCTTTGTTACAGTCATGAGTGTTTTACAAGTTTAAAGATGACAAGGCAAATATGATTTTAGCTTTGAGATCACCAAGACAGCTTAATTTTCACGCTGCAAATTGAACAGAAGATCTCTCTTCAAACAAGAAATAGTTACCAGTTGAACACGGTGCCACCCAAATGTTGCTCAATCTATTTCCGAAAAGATGCTGTGCCAGTGGACCCAAAGGTCACTGATGCTCTCTTCATAAACTCCACACTCATCAGTTATAGGAGATACATTTTGATGATCCCAGAAAATTATGGTCGTCGTCAGCCTTGCATGATTAGTTGTGAAATAATACTGAACAGGTGAATAACATTTTGAATGAGCAAGAAAAGTTCTTTGCCATTGAATTGATCAAATAAATATCCTCCGATAGTTTCTTCCAGCACCTGGCTGATAGGCTGCTCCAGTGGTCCAGCAGCAACAGGTTTTTTCATATTCAGATACCGAGACTCAGTCTAGTAAGGATAGCCAGGAGTGCATTCCATGTCCTTCCAGGATATCATCTTCCTGCGATCCCTTCCTCTAAAAGATCTGGCAACAAGCTGACCAATAACAGGCTTACACAAACCAACATCAACCACAGAAGTGCTCAGTCTCTTTTCAGAAGACGGGGATGCCTCATCCATGTAATAGTCGAACAACATTGCCAGACAACAAACCTGATGAGCTAAGATATTATTTTCTTCACTTTGAGGTAACATCTTCACTATGTGCAGATTGACCTGCAAGACGCAAAAGGAAATTGTCAATTTACAGTGCCCATTCAGGAGAGAAGCAAAATATGTAGTCCTATGCAATACACCACAAACAAGGAAAAGGTCATTATACTGCTGCGATGCAGATAAAATAAATACAGCCTAGATGGTTAACTAGTGAAAGTGCAGGAATTGAATTACAGATTGAGACAATAGGAACAATAATTCATAAACTAGATGTTAATATGCTTTCACTGAAAGCAACTCAGCAGAAAATGCTTAATCTTGATTTGAGTTTAAAAATCTTTTAAGTGGGAGCAAATAGAGTACACAAAACTACTATGCCATCTCATTTCTCTTATGTCCTGAAGAGCCCAGAGCCCAGAACAAAATGCCACCCCTTACTGATTTACAAATGATAGCTACGTCAACTGCTTACCTCTGCTTCCATTGCACGGAGTTCATTATAGCACTCAGAGTCATTGCTCTCTTTATGGTTGTCTCCAGATATACTGCAAAGACTCAATGCAAAAAAAGGAGGCCTCAAAGGATACTCCATGCTGATCTTAATCTGCCATAACAGAAATGATAAGAAATAACGGAAAATTTGGCGCAAAGTATGACAAAATATGTGGATGAATTATAAGCTACCTTGGCTTCTAACTTCGCTTTCCTCTTATCCGTGTCTACACTCCTGGTTAAAACAAGACAAAATTCTCTGACCCCAAAATCCATCCATGAGTTTCCAGCAACCTCAAAGCATTCAATAGGCACTCCATTTTCTTCCTCTGGCACAACATATGCTGGTTCGTCAAGATCACTCTCAATATCCAGCAAAAAATCTGAATCTTCATCATGTTTCTTATAACTTAGCGATTTTGCCTTGCTGATAGGAGGACTTTTTGAAAGTAAAGCCAGCCGCCTGGAGCGGTCAAGATTAGCTCCTTTTTGGTGAGCAAGTTTATTATCACTGGAAACTGATGCAACTGGAACCAAGGACGGAAGTTCCCCATCTTCCCTCATACTCTCCAGCTCTTCCTTTGAAGAACCAGAACGTCCAACCAAATCAACATCCATAGGTTCCTGACCCTGCTCCTTATCTATGACAGACAAAGATGATGCCGGATTAGGTGGAGGTCCTAGAGGTGAAAAACCATGCAATTTGCACAAAGGGGTATGCAAAACCCATGGAACACTTTCACAAGACAAAGCAGGCCATTTAAGCTTCATAAGTGATTCAATCTGTTCCCTGTAAGCCAATCAAAGAATGCCAACTTCTCAACATAGGGCATACCTTACCACACTCACAAATAAGACACTAAGAGACTTCCAATAGAAAGAAAAACCGTCAAATACGCATAAAAGTTATAGACAGATAGAGCAGATTTAAGTTCCAAAGAAACGGGCAAGGAATTAAAAATATAAATAAAATAAAACACACACACGCACACACACACAACACAAAAACTAGCTACTTTATACCAAAAGAAGTGCCAATAGCAGTCACAACCAAGTAGAACAAAACCACTAGAGCTAACACTCTGATTTGATCACATTGTAGTATCCTTATCCTACAGATTTTCTAGAATGTTCTTGATGATACAAGATGCTAAATATACTGAGCAGTGACTCACACAAGAGCCATCTGAGCTTTTTTCCGGGAGCGAATTCTTCGTACAACTGTCTGTATTCGATTCTGCTGGCGATAAAGTGACAGACCAGATATAACATCATGTTTAGCTGTATCACCACTTGGAGTTTCAGGGGCAGCAAGCAAAGGTGACACCTCAGGCAAGAAATCAATTCCGGCCAAATGTTGAGCCCACTTATATGGACGGGAAGTTCTCCTTTCATCAAAGGCAGGAGCATCACCAACAATGAGCTTGGCTGACTGCATCAATAAGTACAAAATAAATATGAGCACTATATGAACTGTTAATAGAATAGGCAGAATGAGAGACAAAGAGGATGGAGAGGGATAAGACTTAAACCGACACATAGATAACCAAATACCACCAAGAAAACAAAAGAAGAAAACATTACTACCTGATGGGGAAGCTCAAGGCCAGTGTCGTCTGGGAATAGGTTGCATAAGATGTTATTCTCCGCTGCCTCATGGGATCCATCAATTCCAACACATACAACATTCAACTTCAACAAATACTCAAACTTGAGGGTCATAAGTTTTGAAGACTTTGGATCAGAAGCCTCATCATCATGAATATGAAGGATGATTTTCAGCGGATGAACTTGATATACCCCTGATTGCTCAAGGTTCTGCTTGACTGGAACCCTCTTCGGCCGCTTTCTCCTTCTCTGCCCATCATCTTCCTCATCTGGTGCATCATCCTCCAGCCTACTAGCCTCTGCATTGGTTGAAACGCCTGTTCCATTACATAACATTAGTATTTAACTATTTTTTTCTTCTTTTATTTTTAGACTGCGCAGACTGAAAACCAAATCCAAAAACAAAAACTACAGCACTCATAAATTGATTAATTTCATCTGGGCAAGTTTATGCCCATTGAAAGCATCCAAATTTATGTTCATAACTACATATTAAGAGTCGAGCATTAGTTACCAGTATCCTTATTTGCTTGCTGGTGAGCAAAAGCTTGAGCATCCTTCACACTTCCCACTATCTCCAACTCAATTTGCTCATCAAACGCTTCTTTCTGCGCCATGAACTGAGAGTAAACTACATATAAAGGCGGCGGAAGCAACTCAGCCGAGTGGTGCTGCTTGAGCTTCTTGGTATGCTGAAGCCCTAACTGATTCTGCACCGGCAACGACGCCTTCTTCAGCGACTTCAGATGCGAAGGAAGACTCGACAGGAACTTCTTCCGATTCGCAATCGTCTCCAACAGACCCTTCTTATGTATCTCCAGCTTCTGATGAAGCTTGCAGAGCTCTTTCCGCTGAAACAGCTCAAAATTGAGCCTCTTCATCATAAGGTCGTGCGCGACGTCGTTTGACAATGTCGGCGCTTTGATATGGCCAGGGGCGTCGCGAAAGAACTCTTCTTCAGGCACGAGCTCGATGTCTGGGTACTTGGACTTGAAGTCTTTGCAAGCTTTAATGGCTTTAACGTAGTGACTCTTCTCGTACATCAGATTATGGAGCTGCAGCGTCGTCAAGTCCACCGGTGCCTTCGCGCTTTCCGTCTCGGCTTTCACTCGGTCTTCATCGAGCAAGATCGAACGATTCGCCTGCAAATTCAATCAAACAAAACGCAAAATTCAACAAAAACCCTAAAATTTGAATAATGGGAAACCCTAAGACAGTTTCAGAACCTGGCGGAGGGTGACGAAATTGAGGAACATTTGAGTGACGAGCTCGCGGAGCTCCGATTTAGGTTTGTTTTCTTGTTTAATGGCGAGCATCTTCGTCACTATCTCCTCAACTGAGGACTTGCTCTCTTGAAGCATTTCGTACGGCGACTTCTCTGGTTTCTTCTGCGTCTGAACAGCTTCTTCCTCCACCAGCATCCCCTCCTCTATCTCATCGTCTTCCATGTTTCTCCTCAATTGCTTTCGCTGTCTGTCTGTGTCTTCGCTTTGTCTTTTGCCTTTAAAAAAAATTAATAATAATACAAATGAAGAAAGAAAGAAAGAAATTGCTTTATAAATATTTTCTTTTTTTATTTCCCTCCCACGCGAAATGGCGTCGTTTAATATTGCGGCGGTGCTATAGAAAGCAGGACGCCGAGTAATTTGAAGCTGTTCTGCGGCTACGGTGACTATGGTAGAACTTGAAGAGCAAGGTCCTGCCATGACAGCTCTCGGCTCTCTCTTGAAGCTCACCGAAGTCTTTCTCTGGTTCGTCTCTTTGCCTCTGTTTCTCTCTGACCAAATATTAGGGCATTGCCTTTACTCCCTGTGTACTGTGATTACTCGGTTTTCTAAGTCCGCGTATGCTTTGGCAGGGACGATGGTTCGAAGGAGACGAAAGACAGGTCCTTTTCCATGGGACAAACTGTAAGTCTTTGGTTTTTTTAGCTCAATTGCAGTTTTCTTTTTGAAAGCTTGAGACTTTCTCTTGAATGCTTTGAACCTCGCCCTGTAATTTCAGAAACCAGCTCGTGATGGTAGTGGTGAAGGCTCAAACCTTCTGGATTCAGGCTAGTTATTCACTTTCATTTAACGCTATAATTAAGTTATTCGTCTCAACTCTCAATTGGTTTTATACGTTTTAGTGGGAATTTCTGGGTTTCAGAGTGTGGAACTTTGCCAGAGGATACGGAGCTTACTAAACAGATGAATGCATTGGGGCTTCCAGTCTCATTCCTCACAAATAAGGAAGTAAGTTAACATTTCTATGTAGAACTATGTCATTTCAATTGAAGATAAAATACTGCTTAAACCGCATTCACATCTACTACCAGAAGGACAAGTGATAATTTTTGGTCTGTTGATTTGATAACGGTACCCATTTGCAGAAAAGGAACAGAAAGGCGGAAGGCAAAAGAAAGGGTATGCGCTTGAAGCATCCAGTCACTTCTCAAGGATATGGGGTGGAAGCACTGGAGTCCTCCAAAGTGAGTGTGGGGGAGATTGTATCTCCCGTTAATTTTGATGGTAACAGAGGCAGTTCTTTGTGTTGTATGTCAATGATGGGTCAAAGTGAATCATCTTCCTCTGATGTTGCAGCGGATGCCATTAAATTTCAGTGCCTCTCTGTTGAAGGAGATAATCCAGCAAGTTCAACTGAGATTACTAGCCATGCTTCCAAGGAAAATAATCGTGATGGAATATTGGGTGTTGTTTGTAATGATGGCCAGGATTGTGATTCTTTGCACAGAAGTGCTGTGGTCAATGACACAATGAAAATTTCAGCGAGCACTACTGATTTAAATGATGGAATTTTCTCAGGAAGCTGCTCAACAGATGCTGCTATTAGCCAAGAACCAGGTGAAAGATTAATGGAGCATGATCACTTAGAGTGTTCATTGATGACTTTGCATGAAGCAGAAGGTGCCAAGATTTGCGAGGATTATGTCCCCGAGAAACCATGTGTTTCTGAATCAGTTTCATATTCCACATGTTCAGAAGTGCTTGACCATGATGGAACTGACAGCCAGGACAACGGTGATGTTGGAGACTGGATGGTATATTGGGATTCTTACTACATGAGAAATTACTTCTATAATATCAGAACACATACTTCGACATGGCACCCACCCCAAGGCATGGAACATTTAGCAACTGTTGACACTACATATAAGTCAAATGAAATGACTGCTCAAGTAATTGATATGAATGTTACAACTGATTTAGAGACAACAGATTTATGTGGTTTGAGTAAAACTGAATCATTTGAAGAAGCAATCAGTGATGATGTTTCACAGGGTCAGCCATATTGTGAGCTCACGGGGGGCCTTGAACTCACTGTTGACAATTCTATGTCCAATACAACTTTGCCAACTGTCAGTCTAAGCAGATGTCTGGAACATTCAGTTGAACTTAATGAAAGCAATAACACCGGTAATGATGGAAACGCATCATACTTGTCATCAAATGTCCAGGACCTTGCTAGGTATATTATCTTCTTATATCTGCTTCTTCTCCCATTGAAATTCATTTTTCTGATTGATAATGTTACTAAATGACAACCCTGAGACTTTTCATTGGATGGTGCTCACAGTTTCAGAAACAAAACCAAGCAGTTGGTTGCCGATGAGGTCTACAAAAATGATTTGGAACCAATTCTTGCAGAAAAAACTGATGAACCAAATACTATTGATCTCTATAATGAACCTAGTAAAATTAACTCTTGTGAGGAAACTCTTGAAGATTTTGAAGGTGATGACGCCTTTCAAATATTAGATATGAGCAGGTAGAATTCAAACTAACGGCTTTGATTGGTGCTGTTTCAGCTTGTTTTGTTTTCCTGAAACCTATATGAAGTTTTGTCTACTACTTTTTTGTTTGCAGCTTGTCCAATACATGCACTGAAGAAGTTTCTGAAGATTTTAATATGCATTCAGGAACTGGAGTTCCTGCAATAAATGAGATGGAAATGCATCATGACCTTTCTATAGTAAAACGGAAAAAGAAAGTGAGAAGAATGAAAAGTCAGAGGAAATTATCTAATGAGAATGAAGGTTAGTGAATTAACTTTTTTGCTACTATTAGTGCATTTATATATTATTATTTTCTCTGCATTTGCATCCTTTCTGATGAACCATTCTCGTATTGCAGAACTTCTATTTCAAGGGTTATTCAAAGAGTTTTCTGCTGATATTGGCAAATATTGGTGTCAGAGATACCTATTATTCTCCAGATACGATGATGGTATAAAAATGGACGAGGAAGGATGGTTCTCTGTCACTCCAGAGCTTCTAGCTAGGCATCATGCACAACGTTGTGGTAGTGGCATCATCATTGACTGTTTTACTGGAGTTGGTGGGAATTCCATCCAATTTGCACATATGTGAGTAATATAGTGAATGTCTTACAATTTTCTGTTGTTATTCCAAAGTTCCTCCTGGTAAACCTGATGAATCTTATGGTAAGGAAAAAACTTGTTGGAAAGTGTTATCTTATACAGTGGGTCTGATCTTGGGATCCTAGACTAGAAACTACTAATTCCAAAAAATATATTTTGAATGATAACTTTTTAAGTACAGTTCAGTTATCAAAGAAGACCAGGTAGATAATACAGGCACACAAGCAAATTTATGTGCCTGCATGCATTTTAGTGTGTCTATGCATGTACTGATGTATATTTGGTAGTAAAAACTTCTGGCCTAATCAAGCATTCAAGTAAGCGTCTGATTCTGACGTTGCAGTTAGGGGAGCCACCATCAAAACAGATGATTAATAGTTGATGATGTTCTTTCATCCCTTGAAAGGTTTAGGTCTAGCTGACATTATCACTGACTTTCATCCCTTGACTGATGTTCTTTCATCTCACTGACATTATCATTTCAAAATTCCCAGTAGGTTACTTTCTCCATTCATACTGTTGACATTAAACAGATTGAGACATGTTATGATGCATAATAGTGGTTCATGTTGATGAAGAACATATGTTTTTAATGGATATATTGCATAACGCTAATTGTATGCTAGTTTGACCACCTGTTTTACATTATAATATTTTCAGTTCAATTGGCAAATCCAGTACTCTTTCGTTATTTATTTTATTAATTAGTTGACTGATAAAGAATAATTTGAGTACCTTTAAAATTGATGAACCGATGTCTGAGATTTTAGGCAGGACCCAGGCTGCTGCTTTTTTATTTATTTAGTTTTTCATATACATGTGATACTGCAGAAGCAAACATGTGATAGCAATTGATATTGATCCAAAGAAGATTGATTATGCGCACCATAATGCTGCCATCTATGGGGTTGATGACAGGATAGATTTCATAAAAGGGGACTTTTTCGAATTGGCACCAAAGCTGAAGGTACTAAAACAATTTTCAATGTTGTATTTTGTATGTTTCGGATTGCAAAATGCTTTCTGTTATGCTTTACTAGACCTTGTGTTTTGGTAGATTTCCTCGATTGTATTTGTAGAGGAGTACCTTTGACAATATTTTGTTCAGCAGGTTTTTGGCATTTCTGTTGTTTTGCTATTGATTACCCAATGCTAGGTGGTGGCAATTCTGAATTGCTGTAGTTTTTGACACTATCATAGTTTTGTTGAATAATTTTTAGACTTATCTCTGCTGGTTTATGTAATAGGTGCCTAATATGCCGCATAATTATACTTGAAGTCATTAGGTTTTTAGTAAACAAATTATATACTTGACTTTTATTTTGAGCTTTTTTGAATTTCTTCTGTTATCAATATTCTTTTTACTGCAGGCAGACACAGTCTTTTTGTCACCTCCATGGGGAGGACCTGATTATGCAAAAGTAAAGACATATGACCTTAGGATGCTTAAGCCACATGATGGGTGCGTTTTCTTCCCCCTTTTTTCCTTTTTCGTTGTTATTCTTTTAAATTCCTGAGTTGAAATCATATTAATTTTTCTCATCCCTTATTACTCATTGTGCAGATATTTTCTCTTTAACACTGCAAAAGAAGTTGCTTCTAGGATTGTCATGTTTCTTCCGAGAAATGTTGATCTCAACCAATTAGCAGAGTTGGCTTTATCAGGGAGTCGACCATGGTCATTAGAGGTACTTTCTTATCTTTTCGTTTTTCAAATTCAAAGTGCCTTCAAGTTTATTGGCCCCTACCACCCCTCTTATCACATGGCTGAATAGTAGTTGTGTTAATAAAAAGATTGTGGAGCCATTTTCAAACTAAAGACAATGAAATCCTTCAGAGATCTGAAAGTGATCATAACTAAAAGGACAAAAGGAAAATCACTGCGTACCAAGAAAGAAAAGAGGTAGTTCATTGGGTGCATGTTTATTAGTTGGAAAAGCAACATGGCATTGAGGCTTGAACTTGGGGATGAGCTCTTGACATTAGGTAGATTTTACTCTGTCCCCACTCTCCACCACTGGATAGTGGTGCCTGGAGAGACCCATCGATCTAGAATAACAATTTCATGTTTTCATTTGCTGTAATTGTTAGGCCACGAATATTGTTAATTTCTTTTCTGCGATCTATGACCAAATAGAGTATGGCATTCTAATCTGAGTGTCGGGGTATTTGGTTTCAGGTCGAGAAAATTTTTTTAACTGGCAAGTTGAAGGGAATAACTGCTTACTTCAGTGACATGACTGGGAGACAATGATAGTTTTAGCTTTATTCATAAGAGATGAATATTGAGCAGCTTTCAAGGGTGCACGTTAATGCAACGTTGTTACTCACCATAAGTGGTTTGGTCGTTGCAGTTTTGATTTTGAATCACAGAAACCATTTGCCTTGTGTTGGCCGGAGCCTCATGCAATTGAACTTTTTTCACTCTATAACTATAATTGGTGAGATGAAAAGTTTCAGCTCTGTATTATTGTACAGTCATCTAAGCTAGTGTGATGCAATTCTAGTCATGTTGTAAAAGCAACAGTCATGTATCAATGAGCTGTGTTCTGATTGAAATATATACATTAACTTTTACTGCAAGAAAACTTTGTTTTTACCCTCGTACTTGATTATAGACATAGTTCAGATTTACTTGTTCTTGAGGTTTGTTGTTGATAACCTTTTTCAGTCAGATTTGGAAACCTCCCATTAAAAACGGTGGAGGAGCAATTGCGGATTTTGTAATATGTTGTGACGCTGCATGAATCCGGTTTGAGCGGCACGAATTCAGGTTTGTGTAGCTGCCATGGCCCATGGGCGTGGGTTTGGACATAATAATGGCTCGACTTCTTTCTCGAGAGTCAAAATATTCCCCCTTTTTATGGCTCAATTTTCTCATAAACATTGAATTACCCACCCCATCAAACCATCCTAGCAAATTATATCCATTTGTCTTATCCTAAGTGTGATTGTGTGATGAAAAATAGCAACTCCTATATTCTTGTCAATGACAGTATGGCATGTATGTAGAAGTTTTTTTGATAAAGTATTTTTGCACATGTGTTAAATCGTGATTTACAGGAATTCTAGAGAAAGAAGCAAAGCAATTCCCAAACAAACAAACAAAAAAAATTGAGAAGGATTGAGCATCTCCAAGGGGAGAGACAAAAGAGTAGGCAAACCTCATTTGCCTTGCCGTGTCAGCATTTTCATGCTACAAGGGAATAGGTAAATGGGTAGGCAAAATATATATACTCTTCCCAACAAGGCAATATTGCCTACTTCAAAGTGAAGAGGTATATTGGGCCTCACTTACTTTTTATAATAATGATTTGTAAACTTGCATTGCCTAGTTCCTTGGAGTGAGTGACCAACTTTTTTCATAAGGCAAATGGGTAGGCAAGATGCTTTACCTAGGTTGTTATAGTACAATTTTGCCTACTTCATTTACATACTCCCTTAGAGATGACAAAGATAAATTATGGCATATAAAATAGGCTTATTTACTATAGTGCACTCCAAAAATTCAGTCAAATTTCACTTTACTTCCCAAGCTAAAGTGACTCACTTAATCCCCTTAACCATGATTTTGTGTTCCACTTGACCCCCACCATTATCTCTATTAATAACTCTAAGTTTTGATGATGTGGGATGACTATTTTAATCTTTTTACCACAAGTAATGATGTGTCAAGTGAAGGGACCACTTTTTTTCTTCAAATTGAACTAAATATAAAATAAAATAATGTAATTAATTCTTTAATTAATATATATATATATGAAGAAAAAAAAATTATTCTCTATGCTTTAAAAATACAAATAAATAAATAAATCCTACCCATATCCAACTCTACCTTGCAACACCTGCCTAAGCAGCTTCCCCAACCCCTCTCCACTCCTCTAATGGCGGAGGCACATGGGGACCAGTGTAGTCGATGGCCCCCACTAAAATTTTAAAAAATAATAATAATAAAGTACTAGTATGCAGCCCAATTTGCTCTGAGATAAAAGTCATTTACCACATGGGCCATATTCAACCAAAACTACATTACCATGTGGGCCCTACTAACCAGCCAAATTTCCTACAACCATACGCTCCCCATTCCTAACAGGATTAGAATTATTATTATAATATATATTGCCTTCTTATATAAATCAATAAACCTAAGCCTTTTTCTCTTTTCTTGGGTCATAAACACAACCAGACCAACCAGTTGCTTGTGAGTTTTTTTTTTCCCTCAAAATCTAATTATATTATCAAGTTTTTTATTTTTATTGATTTTAATGGGTCTTTCAATTTATGTGTAGATTACCAAAGGAAAAAGGCTTTGGAGATATTTTCTACTATGAATATTGTGAAGAATCGGTTACTGATCTTTGTGCAAAAGATAGTTGAGACAAAAGAAGATCATATCTATCCTTTAGTGTACTTGCTTCTGACACTAGTACTAATCCTACATGTTGCGACTGCAAATGTAGCGAGTATTTTCTGCTATGAATACTGTGAAGAATCGGTTACGCAATCGAATGAGGAATTCGTGGATGAATGATTGCTTGTTGCGTATATTGAGAAAGACATTTTTAATAGTATAGATTACGATGTTGTTATGCAACGATTTCGAAATATGAAAACTCATCGAGGATAATTATAATTGTAATGAATAGACAATATAAACAATATGATTTTTGATGTTTTGATGTCTTGTAAGTTTGAAGTTTTTATTATTTATATTTTGTGAGAGGCCCCCAGACACATGAAATCATGGGTTCGCTACTGCACTCCTCCATGCTTCTTCCTTCCAATTTCTAAAACATAAAAAAGAAAATAAAAGATCAATCCTTATCCCCAAAGAATGGCCTCATCTTTCCTCCTTCCTCATTTCTCCTTTCTCTGCAACCAACCACCGCACCATCATCTATAACCATCCAAACCCACCACCAGCCATACTGTTAGAGGACCCGCAATACACGATTGAGCCCAAGACTTTGACAGAGCCATAAAGAATAAATATTTTTATTTGTTAATTTTTCTATTATATATATATATAATTAAACAAGTATTTATTTATTTATTTTTATTTTAAAAAAGAAAAAAGAAAAAAAAAGTGGGCCCTTCACGTGACACATCATTACTTGTGGTAAAAAAAAACTAGAATAGTTATGACACATCATCAAAATTGACATAATTATTAATGGAGATAAAGGTTGGAGTAAAGTAGAACACGAAATCACAGTAAATGGGGTTAAGTGAGCCACTTTAACTTTGAAAGTCAAAGTGAGATTTGACTGAAGTTTCAAGGGTCACTATAGTAAATAAACCTATAAAATACGGGTCACCTTGGATGGTGATGTGAACATAAAGATATTGGATATAGTTGCCAAGTGCCAACTCGTGGCTGCCTTTTGTTGTGACAAATAATAAACGAGAAGCAAGCAGTTTCCTACTTCTTCTTCTTGTGAATCTCTGATATTGGATTGTCTGTATTATTGTATTGCTTGGTTTACATGAACTCTCCTATAATGTAACATCCCACATCAACCAACGGAGAGAGGGTGATGTGTCTTATATGTATATGCCCGCTTCCATCTAGCACGAGGCCTTTTGGGAGCTCACTGGCTTCGGAGTCATGGTAACTCCAAAGTTAAGCGAGTTGGGGCTAGAGCAATCCCAGGATGGGTGACCCACTGGGAAGTTGCTCGTGAGTTCCCATAAACAAAACTGTGAGGGCAGAGAGCGGGGCTCAAAGCGGACAATATCGTGCTACGGCAGAGCCGATCTCGGGATGTGACATATAATTTCAACGATAATGACCACCACTGACCTTGGATTGTAACCAAATTAGGAGAAATCAAATCATTTTCATTAGGGACAGACTCATGATTTCAAAATGGGGTCGGCTATATTTACCTTACGTACAAATATACTAAGTAGATAGAAAACTCAACAGTGCCATATAATTTCATTGATAACCAAAAAAAATAAAAACCTATTTAATAAGCAAGAACAATAAAATCAATTACAAATTCTATTTGATAATTCATAAACTGAAACTAAAGGTACTAAGTAGAGAGAAAACTCAAAAGTACCATATAATTTAATTGATAACCAAAAAAAAACCTATTGAATAAGCAAGAACAATAAAATCAATTACAAATCCTATTTGATAATTCATAATTCATAAACTGAAACTGATAAGCCCCAATTGCAAATCCCTAATTTATAATTCATAAGTTTCAATTGCAAATCCTAATTGATACTTCATAAACTCCAAAAAAATTCCTTAAATTAAAACATTAACAAATTGAGAGAAGCTTACCTGACAAATATATGAACTTGGTTCACTTAAATTGAGTCTTAAAGGTGAGTGCAGCAGCAACAAGAACATTCTTTTTTTATTTCTCTACGTTTTTTTTTTTTTTTTTTTTTTTTTTTTTTTTCTTTTTGTGTTGTGTGTGAGTTCTTTTTTTTTCTTCTTATCTTTTTATTTACTACGTGCTGTTTAATGAGGAGAATTAAATGAGGCTAGATTATTTAAATTGGGTGAGCTAGGGTTTTTTTATTTGGGCAGGAAAAAAAGAAGCCACCTGGGCTATAGCCCAAGTAAGTCAAACTTAGGGTCTGTCCCAGAAGGGACGTCTATGAATAATATTATACAACCTAACGTGCAAATAGCATATATTATTAGGTATTGCAAATCACGTATTGTAAGCTTGATATATATTATTGACTTATTCATTTATAGTTAAAAAAAAAGGAGTTTCACTAAAACACCCAAAATGGGGGCTGAAATTATAAAAAAACCCAACACCCAAAACACTTTATAAACACACCCAAAACCCATCATTACACACACTCAAAACTCATTTATAAACACACCCAAAAAATATACAATTGTTGATTTTGGGGTTGATTTTGGGTGTGTTTCTATGTTTAAATAGTGTTTAGGTTTTTTTATAAATACATGTCTACTATTGAGTTTATTTATAAATTTGTATTAAAGTATTAAAAAAATTGGTGCAAGGTAGGGCTACATTTATATGTTTGTGTCTCTATTTTTTTTGGTATGTCTCTCTACGAGCAGATGAGCATGCACGTAAGGAAGAGTGTAAGCTTAATATACGTTGTTGGTTCATTCTCTGACAACTTAAATTTTGTAAACTAATAATTATCACACATGTCGTCCAATCTAAAATCAAATAACAATTACATAAAAAATCACAAGACATAAATTACTATTATGCAATATAACGCAAGCCTTAAACATTCTCTCAATGTGGAATTTACTCACATCAGACAACATTATCAAGGGCGGGAAAATTAAAATCAATTGTGAAATTCATTCACCGAAAAGAACATCATTGATTTGTCAATTGTATCATTACAATTCAAAATCCATGTCACTCAAAAGTTACACACCGGAAGGCCATGTTACCCCACACCCGGCTCCAAACCTTGACCCAGTTCCTGACATATGACACGTGGGCCCCACTCTCATTTTCTCGTAGTCAAACGTACTGAGGACGACGACCCAAGCATTAAAAGGCGCAAAGCAAACCCAGTGAGCCGACACTTGGATAAGCTTATATCTATTTGGATGAAATGAATGATGAACAAAAACAAAGTCGCATAATTAATCAAAATCCAACCTTAATTAATTAATCTTTGTGTTTTAGATTCGTTAAACAAAATCTCTTAAACGTGATTTGCCTTAATTAATCCCATAAATAAACAACTCTCCCTTGCCTTGCTTCTAATACCCGCCATTTCACACTCTCAGATTCTCTCTGTTTCTTCTTCTCTGCGATATGTAAGTGAAAATGCCGGAGCAGAGATCGGGTTTCGGAGTCCGAGACGCGAGCCCCGACTCGGTCATCTTCACCCTCGAGTCAAACTTCAGTCTCTTCTCTTCAGCCTCTGCTAGCGTTGACCGCTGCTCTTTCGCCTCCGACGCTCTTGACCACGACTCCGAGATCTCTCCGGTACCGGCCGAATCGGCCTTTCAAGTTTCCGATTTGCATGCTTAATTGCTTTCTTCTGTAAAAATTGATGTTGATGATGATGATGAATGCACATGGATTGATGATGTATGATTCGACTGATGCAGAACTCGGCTGCACATGAGCACCACGTTGAAGAAAGCTCGAGCGGTACAGATCGCGATCCAGATCCGAGCAGACGCCTAACTTTCCACACCAGCAGCATCAAGCACTCTCGTCTCTCCACAAAAGCAGAAAAGGCCAAAGGTACAGCTCAGAAACCATACGACGTCGCTTTCCTCTCCGCTTTTCCTCAGTTTTTCAATTTTCAAACTCTCACTTGCGCACTGTTTTTGGCTTCGAGCTTATGCAGTTCAAAAGGAAGACACTGACTTGGATTTAGTTCTCGATTCGGCTAGGAGCTCTTTCTCTCTGGCCATCAAAGGTAAAAACCCATTTTAGTCCAATCTATTTCGAACCAGATTGAGCTCTCAGCTTCACCCTTTTGGGTTTTTTCGTCTTTCTATAGAATGCCAGGACCGGCGCTCCAGATCTGAAGCTTTCTCGAAGAAGCTAGACAGGCCGAGACCCGCTTCTTTGGATTTGAACAATGCCTCTGTCTCCTCGCCGAGACTGGGCAACATAAAGAAGAGTTCCATGGCGTCTCGGAAATCGGGGAATTTCCCGAGTCCCGGTACACCGAGTTACCGGAACACGAGTCTCGGAGTTCAGAAGGGTTGGAGCTCCGAGCGAGTTCCGGCGCCTACCAACGTGGGTCGGAAGAATACGACGGCTTCAATGTTGCCGTTTAATAACGGGAGGACATTGCCGTCGAAATGGGAAGATGCCGAGAGGTGGATTTTCAGTCCGGTTCAGGGTGATGGTGTGGTGAGGCCGTCGTGTCAGCAGACCCAGAGGAGGCCAAAATCGAAGAGTGGTCCACTTGGGCCTCCTGGGGTTGCGTATTACTCATTGTACTCGCCAGCAATGCCCATGTTTGATGGGACCAATGTGAGCAATTTCATGGCTGCTTCTCCGTTTTCAGCTGGTGTTATATCAGCTGATGGATTGGCATTCCACTCCGGTGCCCAAAATGGAGCCTTTACAACCCGGGCTGAACCTTGCATTGCCCGTTCGGTTAGTGTGCATGGTTGCTCTGAGGTGCTGGACCAGCAGTCTTCACTGCCTGGCTCTCAAGGTTAGTGTTATATTTGCTTCCACTAGACATTACTTTCTTAATTGAGCCAAGTAAATCACAATGGATTCTCATAGTCATAGTAACTGGATTCGTTACGTGAATGTATAATTAGCATAGCGGATTTAATTACCATGTTAGAAATATGTTAAGCATGTGTATATACTTCCTGAACAATGAACTCATGTCTTTGGTGTAACAGTTGCTAGAACTATTGTACTCATTTCTGGATGGTCTTTGGTCTGTTTACATGTACACCAGATGAAAAGTTTGATGGACCTGATGGGGTCAAGGATGCAGCTACCAATGTATCTCGTGCAGTTTCAAGAAGGGACATGGCAACGCAGATGAGCCCAGATGATAGCACTCACTCATCTCCCACAGGAGGGCCTTCTTACTCTGCCTCCAGTTCCTCGGGCCTGCCTATTGTGGAAGTGCAGAGTGCCCCTTCTTTGAAGTTGGAAGTCAGGGATGTGCAGGTAGATGACCGTGTCACTGTGACAAGGTGGTCCAAGAAACATAAAGCCCGAGTACCTGGGAAGGGCTCTGATATTATTGATAATTGGAAAAAGAAAGATGCAGACTCTCGGTCTGCTGCTTGGGATCTTTCTTACTCATCGAAGAACATTTCAAAGTATGTTTGCCACACAATTTTACCATTGTGCATTATTTATTTCTGAGAAGATGAAAGAAAAATACATTGAGAGTGTCAAAAACTTTGTATGGAAAATTGGATTGATTTGAACTCTGAAGAAAATGCCATAACCATAGAGTAAATTCCTATCTTTTCCATACACTAAAAGTACATTGCGATCTCAATAAATGTTGATTGGTTGGCCTTTTGTTTGGTCAAATTTCCTGCCTAATTGTCACTAGTAAAAAATATAGAGATTTATGATTAATATCATTAATGATGTGATATTTTAAAATGTGGACTGATACATATCTATACTAATATTGAAATGTCAACCTGTTGTCTTTCTTCAGAGTTAAAAGAGAGGAAGCCAAAATCACTGCTTGGGAGAACCTGCAGAAGGCGAAAGCTGAGGCAGCAATACGGAAACTAGAGGTTTCTGTCTCTCTCTCTAGACTTCCATTGTATATATGTTCTGCAAATATTGACCCTTACTTTAATCTGTTTCAGATGAAGCTGGAAAAGAAGAGATCATCATCCATGGATAAAATCATGAACAAGTTGAGATTGGCTCAGAAGAAGGCTCAAGACATGAGAAGCTCCGTGTTAACCGACCAAGCACAAGTTGCAGGGACCTCACATAGAACTGTATCAATTCATAGAACTCGTCAGATGGGTTCTTTGAGTGGTTGTTTTACATGCCATGCTTTCTGACTCATCCAGCCACATGTTGCTCCACTTGGCTATACAACAAGGTAATTTGTCTGTACCATAGAAGTAAGAAAGTTTTCGAAAATTGTGGAACTTCTGGTCTGTACCATGTATAATATAACTGTTGGGATCAATGAAACTAGCTGCTGATGCAGTTTAACTGGAAATGACAGCCTCTGATATAATTTACAAGCACGTCCTTGGGTGGGAAGGCATCTGCCTAATGAACTATATATATATGAAACCTTTTGCGATTCTGATTCTTATGCTGTGTTCTGATGCTCACGAAAGCCATTTGCATATCTTTCCAGGTTAAGTAAATGAACAACGGAGGATCCAGAACATAAATGAATGGTGTATAGCAGTTAGCGGCTACTATTTCCACGCTAAATCAGTGTCAACGCAGGTTTCCAGTGGCATGAAGCACCAAAACCTCAGGTTCAGTCTTTTAGATGACTAGGACCCTAGTAAGCAATTCTTGCGGATTCAGCGATTAATAATGCTTCTGTGTGTATGTAAATCAAAGACTTCAGATTATATACTACGTTAAATTTTTTTCTTGTTTTTCACACCCCATGAAAGCTTGTGCACAAATGGAAATACAATCATCTACTTGAGCTTCACGTACAATTCTATTATAAATCTTTGCATATCAATCGACCTTAGAATTTTCTTGAGGAATAATATTATTAGGGTTTGCGAGTGATGGAAGGGATCCCAATCGTGTAAGATTGACATAATCTTGAGGAGCATGAGCTACCAATCCCGGAAGTATTAAACCAACAACCCTAAGGGCTCTCATAAACCATGCTTCATTGTACTCCGAACCCCTTCGCAAAGGAAGTATGAAACTCCTAATCAGCTCCCACACTGCATTTAGGCTCTTTGGTATGACCCACAACGGATTAAAGTAGTTCTTGTTGGGTTCCTCCTCCAAAACCTAGCTCGAACAAAAATGTTTAATTAGCATTGTTAGTCGTATAAGTAGTGTAAAGATGTATATAATGTTTTGGCTCAATATCACAAAACGTCCTTAAGGTTTACGAAACTATCATATTGCATTCTTAATGTTTTTTTATGTCATTCGTAGTCTTCAAGGTTAGTATGTGTGATCACAAATGGTCAATGCCGTTAGGTTTTGTCAAAAATTCCGTTAGTTTGCTGACGTGACATCCATGAGGTTCACGCACTTATGACAAACGGTCCTCGCAATTTTTTTTAATTTTTTAATTTAAATTATTTAAATATATATTGTATTTTAAATATACGTGACACTATTTTTTTTAAGATGGGGCTCCACATATATGTCACATCAACAAACTAATTAAGTTTTTTTAAATAAATAATTTAAAATTCATAAAATTTAAAAATGAAAAAACCATTTATTGAAGGATTTTAACCTTGAGGACCATTTATGAACCCTAAACCCTTGGTTTTTTCATTTTTAAGTTTTATGAATTTTAAATTATTTTTTAAAAGCTTCATTAATTTGTTGATGTGACATATATGTGGAGCCCACATCTCCAATAATATAGTGTCATGTGTATTTAAAATACAATATATATATATTTAAATAATTTAATTTTTAAAAAAAGAAAACCAAAATTTTATGAACTTTAAATTAAAAAATTTCTCATGGACCATTTGTGATAGGTGCATGAACTTCAGGAATGTTTATATATATATATATATATGTCACGTCAGCAAACTAACGGAGTTTTTGACGGAACCTAATGGCAAGGACTATTTGTGATCACACATACTAACCTTGAGGACCACGAATGACACCAAAAAAAAAACATTAAGGATGCAATATGATAGTTTTGTGATATTAAGCCTAATGTTTTTCTCACAAACTTCTTGCATACAACATATATATACATCATTTACCTCACAATAACGAGTTTTTAGCAAAAATAGACAAAATTTACCCCCCATCCCCCCCCTCCATTCAAAATGTCAAAAATTTTTATAAAATCTTTCAAATATAATAAAAAAAATTCACCTAAATAGACACAAATGCCCTTAAAAATTAAAACCTACATAAACTTAAAAAGTTTCAATATATTTTGAGTCCAATTATTAATATATAGACTTGATATCTGACTAAAGATTGAGACTTTGAAGAAAATTGATGTGTGAACTCGTAGATGCCCAACAAAACCTGTTAAAAAAAAATATACGGGTATATGTTTACCAAACCTTTGCCCATAGCCTAAAGGAGGAGATATCAGAGAAGAATTTCAAATGACAACAGGAAGGAAGCCAAACAACCTGTTAAAAAAACATCTACAGGTATATGTTTAAAAAAACACCATCACACCATCAAAACACACCTAAACTTATGAATATTTCAATTTCTTGTTCCTACCAAACCAAAGAAATGAAGAAACAATTGAAAGAAAGAAGCAACCGCACGAAGAAGCACAAAATATGCATAAAGAAAAAGAAGATCACTCACCAATTGTTCGACTAAGGTGCGTGTGATTCCAAACTTTGTGTAGTAGAGTTTTGCTGTTTAGGTTTATATGAGTTTTAATTTTTAAGGGCATTTGTGTATATTTAAGTAAGTTTTTGGCTATATTTGAAAGATTTTATAAAAACTGACATTTTTTAAAATAAAGGGTAAATTTTGGCTATTTTTGATAAAAACTCCACAATAACTCGTACAAATCACTTTATTGTAAGAGAGAGAGAGAGAGAGAGAGAGAGAGTAACCTTTCCTTTATAGCAGCTGTTGAAGTAGAGGCTGGGTCCAAAGTGCTTAAAGAAGAGAGTTTTATCATCATAAGGTATCCTAGCCACCAAGTCATTGGAGTAAACATACCTCATATACCTCACACCATACTTTTGTAGCTTCTCCTTCATATACCCCCCAAATTTCGCATCCCCCACCCTAGGTTGTCCAAAAGTGTACACCCCCTCCAACCTCTCCATCAACAACTCATATTCTCTCTCATAGCCATGCATTGCCAGGACAGCAACAAACATCACAGCCAATGCCCCGCCCAAGCTGTGGCCTGTCAATATAAACTTGGCACTCTTGTTCTCCTGCAACAAATCTATCAGCTTTTTCCTGATTGTGTAGTAAGCAAACCGATGAGGTTGGTCAACGTTGACTTGCTCTGTTTTGAGCTCAAGGGGCCAGGTGTAATTTGGTTGCATGCCGAGAGCTTTCATGAAGCCGCTGTGTGCCTTGCCGACTTCAGAGAACTCGCACCATGAGATGTCGACATCTGTGCTCCATTCATCGGCATCGAATGGTTCGGTGCCTCTAAATGCCACCACGATCAAGTTGGGGTCAGATGTTGTGTCTTGGAACAGGAAAGCTTGTGTTGAATCTCGTCCCAGGTAATCTGCATAACATTTTGAAAGCCTATATTGTCTTGCTCAGGAAAAAATAAAATAAAACAACCATATAAATTGTGTAAAGAAAATGCAAGGGTTTGCTGCTTCCTTACTTACCATTCCAACAGTTGTAAAACCGCAAGAATTTCATCTGCGCACTCCAAAGAATTAATTAATCGCTTAAAAAACAATTTCATCGTCATCAAAAGGAACAAAGAACAATTTTTGTCAATCCTTTTAAGACTAAGAGAGAGCACTGAATTAATTCGGTGAATTGAGCATTATTGTAAGGAATGCCAGTGAAGACATACCTTCCAGTGATCGTTGACAACTGTTTTAATGAGGTCTTCATTCTCGTACGACCATTTAGCAGCCATCATGGACAGTGCCCCTTTGTATCTTGCATCCTCAGGTTTGATGTTGTCGTCCAATTCAATTCGCCAATCAACATTTCCCACCACCGATAATTCGGATGTTAATGAATCTGGCTTCACCACCTTTCCTGCACTCCCGCCCGTTTTACTCATTTAATTACAAATTAAACAGCAGAATTAGCAACATAATCACATAATTAATTCCCTCTATCTGGTCTGTTAATGTTTTGTTGTGTGTTTTAATTCTTGAGCTATATCGTCATTCACCATTTTGGCTGTATGTACTGACCAGTAAAAATCTATAAATGTTTTTTTTTTTTTTTTTTTTTTTTTTTTTTGTGTGTATGGATACTGAAGGAGGGAGATTCGAACACATGACCTAAGACTAAGAATAACTACTCTTAACCATTTTAATCATCCTTTGAATCAATTGTGTGTGGCCATATGATACTGAAGGAGGTGAACATCCACATCAATTAAAATTATTTAATATTTTCTTTTCTTTTATGATTTATTCCAGTATTTGTTTTTGTAATTGCCTTAATTAAAATACACTTCATTGTTTAATTGATGTGGCATATAATATGGACGTGCCACATCATGTGGTATAGAATTGTATGATAAAAATGTGGTAAGTGTAGCATTACTCTATTAATATTATAATAATACTAGTCTTACCACATTTTTTATACCACAATTTTATACCACATGATGTGGCGGCTGATGTGTACATACCACATCATGTAAAATACTAGTTTCTGTTTTTCTAATTTTATTTATTAAAATACACTTCATTCATTTAATTGATATGGCATATGATATGGACATGTCATATCATGTGGTATAAAAATGTGAGATAATAATGTGGTAAGCGTAGCATTACTCATTATTATTATAAGAAAATTAATTAGAGCTTAATTACCTTTTAGCCGGTTTATGAAGAACATGAGCAATCCACCGTTGGCTGATATAACATTCAGCCACTTGTCGAACACGTCCCCAATTCGAGCCAAGGGGTCTCTGAAGAAAAGCAAGCTCCATTGCAGCACAACAGAGATGAAGATTACCCACCTGCGCCTAACCTCTGTGACCTTGTGCACGTCCTCTTCCGAGCACTCGATCTCGATGAATCTTCTTTTTCCTACATCAGATGAACATAGGAGGTAAAGGAGCTCAAGGAAACTTGCTTCTTCAGGCTTCAGAAAAAAGTAGCTTTGACAGAGAGTTTCCTTGGGATCCTCCATATAGTAATATGGCTTGGAAGCAGAGGAGAAATGATGAGCTGCTCGCTGCGTTATGTCGATGTCTCAAACTACAAACAATACAAAATGTAGGAAATTATATATATGTTTGTCCAATGATGCATATATAATATAACAATCTGCCAACCATTGGAACAAATAAAAATAAAAATTAACAAGCTTTTTATATATATTAAAAAAAAACTAATAGTTATTGTCGTTGCGGTTTCATGGTATAAAGCTTAGCTGGGCTGATTTGTAACTGATAGACCTAGATTAATTGATGACTTATAAATTACATTTATATCTTACCGTAATATGGCTCATAAAACGGAAGAAAAAAAGATTTCTTATCTTTATCATTCTGCATGGATCACTTTTTATGGCCTGATTATAGATAAGTATCAAACGTTTGCAAGGTGCAAGGTTTGTCCAGGTCATGAGATTGTAGTTAAGTATCAGATTCAAATTAAAAACACCTTAATTTTTTACATAATTAATTAGGAGAATAGCAGACAATGGTTAGACCTATAAATTTTGTCAAGGGTTAGGCTAATATTTTTCTTGGCTTTGGGACTCCAAGTAAAATAATAATAATAATAACATAACATCTTTTAAAATATTTAAAAACTAAAAATCATCATATTTTTTATAAATAATACAAACCCTTTCTCCTTTTCTCTCCCCTTTCTGTTCTTGAGAAGCAGAGAACCTCACCCTGATGTTTTGAGTGGAACCTCAAGCAGAGAAGCAACTTTTCTTTCAAATAGCATAAGAAAAAATTCCAAAAATTTAACAACCAAACCCTAAATCTAAAAAACCTAACAATAACAATTAAAATTTAACAACCAGAACTTAAATGTTAAAACACATGGAGAGAGAGAGAGAGAGAGAGAGAGAGAGAGAGAGAGAGAGAGAGAGTGGCCGTGAGAGTTGAGAGAGAGGGAGGGTAAGGAAAGGTAAAGTTGAGAGAGTCGGTGAGAGGAGCGGTAAGAGTAAGAGAGAGATAGAGGGGGACAAACAATGATTCACACAAAGAAAAGAAGAGAACGAAGCAAAAGAGAAAATAAGCCAAATACAAAGAAGAAGAAAAAAATAGAGAAACAAAGTAGAGAGAAACAAAAAAATGAAGAGAAATGCAGCACAAGAGAAAATAAGTAGAAGAGAAAAGGTCGAAGAAGAGAAAAAGAGAAGGCAAAAGACGTAAAAGTAGCAAAATTTGATTGGTCTATTAGATTAAAAGACAAAAAGCAACTCAAGAGACAACATGTGGCAAAGACGGGTAGGCTAATATTTGTGGGAGTAGGGACAACCTTGTAAAATTTGCACCAAATTCTAGTAACTTTAAATCTTGAAATGGGCTGGAGCGCACTCCAGCGCGCTTGTACGTGGATCCACCCTTGATAGCAGACCAAATGACCATGAAATATTACGCGATTTAAAGAATTTGTTGACATATAATTAAAATAAGGACATTGCTTCCCTATTTCCCTAAAAGGAGGCATTCCTATTTCTTGCAACTCACACATACAAAAATAATTTATCAAAAACACAAAAAGAAACATTTCTACATACATGTCAAACTATAATTGGCAGGAAAGTTGGAGTTCCTACTTCCCGAAGACAAGCATTTTCCTTAAAATAAAATAAATGATATGGATAGAAGATGCCACCAAGCCATGTAGGCGTTTGGGTTTTTTTTTTGTTTTTTTTGTTTTTTTTGAGAAATTTTGAAATTGCATTCATAATTCAACAAAAAAAATTCATTAGCCACAATAGGCCATTACAATAATAGGGCGATCTAGCATCGAGAATTGAAATTATTAATTAAATGAGGATACTATGGTAAATTCACATTTTTTTTATATTAAACAAAATTAAAATTATTAGAAAAATTAGATAATGGATCCTATTTTTATGGAACACAACTACCAATTATCTTTTTTAATTCTAAAATAATAGGCCATTACAAAATAATAGTATCTATATATATATAAAGCAAAAGGCAGAAAATGATAAAACATTTAAAATACCAGAAAATGTAATTGGTTAATACAAACATTAATAATTGAAATTATTAATTAAATGAGGATACTATGGTAAATTCACACTTTTTTATATTAAAAAAATTAAAATTAAAAGAAAAAACATATAATGGATCATATTTTGATGGAACACAACTACCCATTATCTTTTTTAATTCTAAAATAAATTTAATTTTTTTATAAAAAAAACCTCTAGCAGGCGCGGAAGCGCGTGTGGAGAGGCTAGTATAAAATAAAAGGTCAAACCAAACCACTAATCATTGCATACGTAAGATTGATCTTGATCCTAATTAATTAAATTTAGAAATCAAAGAATTATATTTATAGTAATGACATGTGGCCATCTCCAACCCAAACGAGGCTAAATCTGAATTTTCCTCCTTCAAAATACAAATATTCATGTATTGTTCGGACTCAAACAAGTTTTTCCTCTAATCAGGTAAACTCAAAATTTGAGTCTGCAACTTTGTTAAATTATTTAAGAATGATTAACCCTGAATTATTATTATTATCGTCATTAATTTTCCTTATGTGAATTTTGTTTATAACATCATGATTTATTTTTCTGAACATTCTAATCTAAAAAAATTCAAATTTTGAAAACAAAATTTTAATTCATAAATCTAAAAGGAAACCACACAAATTATAAACAAATAAGTGGATATATGATATTTGGGTTAGATTAATTAATATTTTGACCGTTGAATTTTGTTTTAAAGTTAGATTTAGTCAGAAAACAAAAAAACAAAAAACCATGGCTGCTTGATTAGAGGTGGCGGCAAAGTATAGATTATAAAAAAAATTGAACGCAAGCAAATTCTTGCCTTTGGATTTCAAACGCCAGAACATCACCTCTGTCAAAAACAAAACATGTGCCTTGGAATTACACAAGTGGCGGGTCCAGCATTATCTCTCCTCACGTGGGCTGCTTTTTCCTCTTTCCGCGGGCTCCACTCTTTTCAGTCGAGGCAAAACAACAGGCGGTATATAGCCTAACTTATTGCCTGGATTGGTAATACATGAGTTGGAGATGAGAATTATTTAGACCTTAATTCATGTCTAAGTTCAGAAAATATTAAGCAAACTCAACTTAGCTTAGCTGGTCAATTGGATTAGTCCACGGCTAAACGTGCGTCTTTTGTAGGCGCATTCTATTTTAGATTCAGAGAAAATTATATTATCAGAACTTTTTCAATTACCATTAAATGTCTATTTTCTGAATGATTGTTTGTCACAAAATAAAACACTACTCTTATAAGTGTACCTATTAAAATTGACAACGTTCCGAATTTAGGGAAATTTGACTTTGAACTAGAGTGTTCTAGAGAGAGATATTTTTCATTTTTAAATTATGGATTTTTCTATGAATTTTGTTTTTGAAGACTGACTAGAAGCCCATAAAATCAAAACAGAAGGCTGTGGTCTTTCATTTCCTTAAAAAACACATTGGGCCTTTATTGGGTCTGGCCAATCCTCCAAAAGTAGATTCTAAATGCAACCAATAATCTAATTAGTACACCCAGCACGATACCATACAAGAATGAAGAATTTTATAATGACGGCCTTATATATAGTCTTTAGATGACGTCATATATATTAATTGTTGAATTAAATTGACTAGCCTAATTTAACAATTAAGAGATAAAATCTCACTTAAGAGTCATATAATGCCCTCACTATATTATGACTCATTGCTAAATCATTCTAATTTGAAATTGCGCCCACAAACATTTACATGTGAAACTCTTTTGACCCTTCTCTGACCTTCCAATTGATGTCGGTCTATCAAATGCCAATAATAAATGAGGGGGTGGAGTGAGGTGGGGGGAGTATCCATGCTTCTAGAAGCAGAATTGGGACAAAATTTGATAGGAAAGTTGCTCAAATTCGATGTGGTGTTTGTTTTGTGTTGGAAAATACATCCCACCCATAAAAAAGGACAGACGGTAGAATATTGGGCCAAGGGATTTGGATAGTGTGATCCTCCGTCACTGTCCTAGACGGCCTCCTACAAAATCTAATCCGACCGACCAACATGTCTTAATCCCATTTTTCGTCGTCTAGCCATTAGCCTTTACTCATTTGGTTGGCCTTACCCTATCTTATTATTCCACCCTCTTTACTCTTCACTCCATTAATTTATCTAAGCTCACCCCCAACACACGACTTAATAATAACAATTAACAACCCAATCCACCCCTTCACATCACATCAAAGATCAAACCCAAAAACAAGCGATCAATCTTGAGCCGGAAACTTTTCAGTGACATGTGTTGTTTAAGTAAGTTGATCATCGGCGAAGGATCACAATCCGACTATAAATGAAATTGAAACGAGATTCACGTTTTTGCTTGTATTGTTTGGTTGTGTGAAGTAAGCGTGAAGAGATGCAAAGAACTTGTGCGTTTGGAACGGTATGTGCTCTGGATTCAGAGGACAAGGGGAGGGGACACACCTCTTAACCCATTGAAGAAGACCTTGATGATGAGGATATGTTGGGACCTTGGCCATATGTCTCACATGGGTCTTCTGATGATTGTTTGTTTGACCATTCTTATTTATTATATTGGTTACCATGTCTATCTTATAGCTAGCTTCTTTCTCTTCTTGTTGTTTTGTATTTCTCTTTGATATTTTGCATTAGATTTGGTTTGGGGATGTAAGGAATAAATGGGTTTTGATCCTCGAGACATTAGCACTTCTCTCATTAGATCCTCATTTGGGAAGCAAACCTACCCCTTCAAATATGCAACAATAAACAAAGCGATCGACATTCGATGCCTCTGGTTTTTTCCACCACCTCTCAAATCTCAACTTTGCTGTCATCGCCATCTTTAAGCATTCTATATATTTTTGTTTTGTTTATATTTTGGGTTGAATTCTTTCAAGAAATTAAGAGACAAACCTTGAGGTTGATCCTTACAGCACGTCTCATACCAAAAAAACAGAAAGATAAGAACTCTATAATTAGAACGGTGTAGAAGTTCCCAGAATACAGTTCATAACCCTAGGAGGCCTCCAGTCCAGGTGTCGTGTATGTCCATATGCAAGCAGTAAAACAATAGGGTTTTGAATTGATCATCACCATTATGATGATACACGACAAGGAGAAGGGAAAAAAAGAGTAAAAAAGTAAAGAAAAGAATGCACTGTTGGCAGTAAGATCCACGGTGTAGTGCCAGGTGGGATAGAGTTCACGTGTTAGCCAGGAGAGAGAAGGGTTGGGAGGTGGTGAGGTGGCGGTAGCGAAAACAACATTATCACTTTGCCTAATCGTAAAAGCTATACCTATACCCACCACCGTTATGTCAGAGACCTTCACGTGGACTTCTCATGCAATCTCTATCATCACGACTTGGAGATAATTTTTTCAAAAAAATTCCAAGATTAGGATTTAGGAGTTTTTTAATTTTTTAAAAGTAAGAGTAATAGTCTAAATTACAGGGGAAGTGAGGTTTCAAACACATTAACATAGTGTTATGGGGATTCGAACTTGTGACAATTAATATGCATAATTAGTTTAAGATATGATCAAAATGACATTCATATCACATAGGTCTTGAAAATGGTGGAATTATGAGGAATAAATGTAAGTCATTAACTCGTTATGAATAGTCCTTCATTCTCCAAGTTAGATAACAACATCCATATTAGTCTAATCCTCCCTGAGGAACGAGGATGTACTAATATTAGTCTTTATGCCTTTCCATAACTTTGATGGAAGATATTCGCATAATAATATGATAGGAGATATGATATATTAAGATGATACAAATAGTTTTATTTTGCTAGGAATATACATATGTATGAACAGGTGTCGCCACGAAAATGCAAAGGCATTGAACTTTCACGTGCCAACAATATTTTGTCCCCACCCAACCATTTTTTTGCACACGCAGCTCCATCAACATTATTTCCCTTGTTATTATTATGAGTCATGACCCAGCTGAGCTGAGTGCTGAGATATGTATTTTTTCCTGGGCAGGCACACAAAAGATACATAGTTTCTTCCTAGGCCTGTCAACGCACAAAGATTACATTATAGTACGTTTTCCTATGTTCCCAAAGGACCATATGCCAAGTACATATTTTAAAAAGTTAAAAAAAAAAATATATCTTCAAGGGATGTGATGATTATTTAATTAATAGCAATAGAAACATGGGATTACATTAATTAAGCTTAAAATTAAGATCATATTAGCCATGCATGCTCCTAATTTACAACCACGTAATCAAACAATTAATCAACAGTCACTACACTAATTTAAATCAAATTCAAACATCTCCAAAATGCTGCACATTCTCATGGCAAGAAGCCTGGTAAGCTTTAGCCACTGAATGGAGGCCATAGCTCCCGCTAGACATGGCCACAGGGAACCCAATCCCAGTAGGCCTATCAGCCGCAGCTCTCTCCAGCGTTTGAACCTGAGACTTCAAGAATTTGACATAGTGAATGGCCTCGTCTAACATGGAGGCCGTGTCCATTTTCGTCCCGCCAGGCACAAGTCTCTGCAGAATTCTGATCCTCTCGCTGATCCTCTCCCTCCTGTGGCGAGCCGCCACGCTCTGAGGGTCCTTAGAAATCTTGACGTTTCTTCTCTTTGGTGGCTTCACGGATTCTGGGTCGATGTGGATTGGCTGCATGGCTGCAATTCTGAATATCATTTCTCTCATGGCTGCCATGGAGGTGCGTTTTTGGGAAGATTGTAGGAACCCATTTGAGGAATTGGATGTTTGGTCAGTTAGGTTTGTGGAGTTGGAGAAGGAGATGGTTGATGGGATCGTTGGGAGGTTTAGAAAGGACTGGGAATTTGGTGAGGGGATGTTTTGTGGGTTTTGTTGATCGGTGTAATGGGGCATGGAGGTGTTAGAAGTGATGCTATTGGGACTTGTTGTTGTGGTGGTGATGGTAGAGAAAGTGTGATCAGATGGGGGAAGGTCTGAGACGCCGTTGTAGGCTCCGCAGAGCTCTGAGATTTTGTCCATTTTCATCATCATCATCATCTCCATCTGCTCCTCTGATTTTAACTGGACAATATCTATATTGCTATATATATATGCTATCTCTATATATATAGCCAAGCTTAAGCTTGTATATTTTGAGCTTATTATAATATATTTTGAAGCAGAAGAATCCGAGAACAGAGAAGTTTAATAAGAGTTTTGAGAGAAGAAAGGGAAGGGGAAGTAGGCTTGAAGGCTGACGGAAAGCAGTGTTGATGGAGGTGCAGAGGGATGGGGAAGAAAATAGAAGAGTGGGGTTTTATCAGAAGGTGCAGTGAAGGAGAGAAATGCACACAAAGGTTTGGAAAGAAGAAGGAAGAAAACAATTCAATAAAATAGTGATATCCGGAGCAGACCACCAGTCCCATGGGAGCACTATATATACACTCCAATTTTAGTTTCTTGGACTTGCGAAATTGAATATTTTTATAATCCTTATGCTCTTACAAACTGAAGTAAATGAAGTTAAATTAGAGCGTGTTATTGTTACTTTAAATTTTTAGCTATACTAAGTTCATATTCGTTGTCTCTATCTCTCTATTCACGTGATTGTAATACAAATCCTTAAACCCGAAAACAAGAGAAAACTTGTATTACAATCAAACAAAAGAGCTCTCGTTAACTGAAACATACCTGGCAGCAATCCAAGTCCTCCCCTCAATTCCTTTTACAAAACACAGGTCATATAAAATACTAACATTGTATATATTACAATTGTAATTTTATGGTCAATCTTTTATAATGACAAAGCTGTTGATCTTTTTCCTTTTCTTGCCTTGAATTTTGGTTCATTTCTTTATTGGGAAACAATCTCTTCTTTTGGTAGAGATTTTTTTATAAAAAAAGTTAAAAAAAATTCATGTATGATTATTGCTACCTGGATTTGGAAGAGCATCACATTGGAGCATGCTGCCTATCATTTCTATCTGGACCCTTAAATTAACAAGTGGGCCAAAGCTAGCACTCATATTAGAAATTGGCCAATGACCAAATCTAATCAAATGCAGAAGTGGGTCGTTTTAATTTCAGTGATTCTCACCATTTCACAGGTTCTATACACCAAAATCGACAAGTGAATGTGAAGGGTTCAGATCTACGGACTGTTTGAAGAAGCGCTGGTCCAATAAGTGCTTTTGGTGGTGCATGAATCATTTTTTTATTTTATTTTTTGTTATAATATAAAAATAAATAAAATTCACTGTCTTTTAAGAAGGCTAAAGTCCCCACAATCACATGACAGGTGTCAGAAATCTCACCAGACCCCTAGAAATGACAGATACATTCCTTTCCTTTCCTTTCCTGGCTGGCGGTGGAATACGACGCCGTTTTGATAAACCGTGATGGTGGTTGTGGGCCTCTGGCCTCTGCCAATGGTCCAATTGGAGAGTCCTAGAAAAATATTTAGCTCATATCATATATACGATACGATATGATAATGATATGATATCATTAAGGCTCAATATTATTGTGTGGTGCGGTCCAGCCTAAAACTCGTCTTCTTTTCTCTTATTGCTTGGTACGCTTTTCGAGACGGATCAGGTTTTTCTGATGCCAACCACCTGGTTCATGTGCTGGAATTGCTAACGAACTTACCATGCACCCTCTACTACCATGGGATGATCATCAAGAGGAATGTAAACGCTTGTATTTCGCTTTGTAAAGATTTTGTTACGGTCAGTCAGTCACGCGTGCGTGAGCACATAAACAATGAATAAAAGGTTTTGTTACGATCAATGACGCGTGAACACATACGACTCATTGGTAGTAGGAGATGATGAAAACTGGTACCGCCATTAATAGGAATATAATAATAGTTATTTTTTTTGGCAAGAGACATGAATAAAGAGACATGTTGTGTGTAAGAAGAGGTTCGGATTGGATAAAAAGAAGGGGATCTAAAGGAGAGAGATCTTGCTGTTGGGTGGGATTTTTAACTTTGCATTATCACTGGTTCCTTATCTTCTTCCCCACAGCCACATTTATAATACTTGTACCTAGCTAGCTATATTATAATACCACCAAACCCAGCAAGCAAACAGACATATTTTTCCCAATAATTCTTCTTTGCTTCTCCCACTTTCTTTAGCCTTTACCTTCCTTCCTCCCTTGGGAATCGCGAGATGAGGAGAAGAAAAATAACTTATTGCATATTATAAATGAATAAAAATTTATATTAATTTAATGACAAATGGTCCCCTATTTCATCTCTCTCTCTCTCTCTGTGCATGATTTTCATAATTTTCATAATTTCAGATTGGATGGTTTTGCAGTTTTGTGGCAGCACCAATTGGGCAAATCAGACAGTCAAAGAGCATCTTGTGCACTTGTTTGGGTTCCAAGTTTGGTGTTTGTTCATTTTCAGAATGGTGGCCACTCAGTCTTTTGAAGGAAAAGGATGTGGAGGACTTTGGTCCAGCAGAGGCAGAGCAGACTTAATTTACTGTTGCTCAAGGTTTTGCATCCTTGGAGGCGTCTGCGTCATGACACGCTTGGTGATCTCACGGGCTGGTTTTTGTCAAAAACACCAAGTATTGGGCTGTGCACACATCGGAGTTTGTGTTATAATATCCCTCTAAATTTATGAGTGCTGCTATTTCCACCCAATATTTTATTTTTCTACATATTTTATTTTCAAAATTTAAAGACAAATTTACCTCTTTGTAAAATGACTTATAATAACTTAGGAAAAAAACTTCCACTTACGTAACCCACTTATTTTATTTTATTTATTTCTCAAAGCAATTTTCACTAAAATTAAAATTAACCCTAGATTTTCTAAGGTCTGTAACCTCACGTCGCATGCCCATCTCCATTTATCTCCATCTTTTTTACACGGTTGAAAGAAAGAATGAGATCCATAATTAATTAAAAGTAGGCTTATTAATTCCTGGCATTTTTATGGGATTGCTTACCCAAGGTGATTGCCAGCAGTCCCAACCAAGGGGCCGTTAATCTTAATCCTTTGCCTATGGTTAGGCTTTATCCCATACAATACTAAATGAATAATAAGCATGATAGAAAGCCATGGTGCAGGAGGGATTGCTTATTTAGTACACCCAACTTACCAATGTCACCAACTCGGCCTTAATTTTACTTTTATTGAGAATTTGTTTGAATTAATAATTAAAGAGTATTTTATGAATGATAGTGGGTGGAAACTATGTAGCACGGACACTCTGTCAGGCTAACATGTCGGAATGTCAGACACACAGACACACCTTGAACACGGCTTGAACATAGGTCAACGGTCAAACATGTTTTGGACACGATCAAGACACTTTTAGACACGGTTAACTGAAGTCAAGACACGATAGGGATCATTTTGAAAATTATAAAATAACAACTGGGGTCAAAACATAATTATTGAAACTATGAGGACATATTTAAAATATTTTTAAAAAGTAGGCTTAAAATGTAAACAATATTTTTTTTTAAATATGTTGAGGTGATATTTTTAGTTGATTAAGGATATTGATAGCAATTTGGTCGTGGGAAAAGCATCTTTTTGAGTGGATAATTCATTCACTTTGTTTATTTTATATATTTATTTATTTATGCAAACTCGATTCTTATTTTATGAAGTGGGAAATTGATTTCTTATTTTGAAGATGATAGATATACAAAAACTATGTGAAATTTGAATTATGATGAATCATGAATATGTGTATCATCCTTTATTTTGTTTAGGAAAAGACGAGTAATGCTAAGTTAACTCAAATGAGTATGAATTTATTTTTTACAAATTTATAAATAAACCCAATCTTAGACATGTATTTATTAAAAAAAAACCCAAGCACTATTTAAACATAGAAACACACCCAAAATCAACCTCAAAATCAACAATTGTATATTTTTTGGGTGTGTTTATAAATGAGTTTTTAGTGTATGTAATGATGGATTTTGGGTGTGTTTATAAAGTATTTTGGGTGTTGTGTTTTTCTATAATTTCAGCTCCCATTTTGGATGTTTTAGTAAAACTCCCTTTATTTTTATGGTATCATGACATTGAAGTATTGAGCATTATTTTTTATTTATTTATAAATATATATATAAGTTATTAGAATTTTATTAGAATTTATTACTATTTTAATTGCCGTGTAAATGTCCTAGTTTTTTGAGATTTTGTGTTGCCACGTTGCATTCCGTGTCCCTGTGTCCATGGGAAGATAAGGTGTGTGGAGGAAAATAGAACGGAGGTAGAAATAGTAACACTCAAATTTATTGGCTTCTTTAGATGACATCAATCATGATGTTTTTTTTTTTGGTGGCATTAAACACAAATCAAATAAGTTTGGTTTTTTCACAATACATAAGAAATAATTGCATCCTTACCTGTAAAGAGATAATCGTCTTTCATTTGAATCAGAACTCAACAATTCATAAGTAAAAGTTACCACTTAACAGTTCTCTTACTGATACAAGGCTAATATGAATCAGAACTTAAAAGGATATGCAATCTCATCTCTTAACTAACCTTTCACAGAATAATTTGTTTAGTCAACCAAAAAGGAGGGAAAAGGAAAAGAGAGACAAAAATTTAAGAATATGGAAACTGATCACAAAGACAAAACAAGAACAAACGGTGGTGCATCTTGTAACCATTTACGGATTGGAAGCTATCGGGTACCTATTTTCAGGCGGCATTTCCATTTGGGATTCCTACTTGATCACCATCCAAAAGCTCATTTACACAGAACTGATGCAAGTTGTCATACATTTTCTTCCACTGCTGAACCGTTTGTATTGATCTTTCGTAATCATGCTTTAGTCTCTCGATCTCCATTTCGGCTGAGGCAGAACCTTGTTGCTGAAAATGAAGGCAAAAAAAAAGGTTAAAGTTAAGGTTTGACATCCATGAAGATATGTCATTCAATTCCAGTGGTTGAATGATTAAGAAACATTGTTAGAAATATGGTGCGTGTACCCACGCATAAGCACCCCCCACACTCTAGAAATGCCTATAAAAGTGTATTAAGAATATTTATGAAGCCATAAAATACCTGAAGCTCTTTGATTTGGCCATTAATCACATCAGACCTGAGGTACAATGCTTCTGTAGAATTACTGCATGTAGCCTGGCGACCAATCACAGCCTTAAGGTCTGTTGGGTCTTCAACTATTGGATACTTTTCCAGTGGAGGCGGCAATGATGAACCCTGCCTTCTGTAGGAAGATTGCAAATTCATCTGAGAAAGTTGCTGTCTAATGACTAGAATATTGTTCACTGGACCTGCATTATACAGTGAAATTTTCATGCAAATATACTAAAAAAATAAAGAAAAACTGGTAGATTGAACATAAATAACTAAGAAAGTCGAATTTCAAATGTACTAGGAGAGAATATTCAAGCTAAAAAAAATTAAGAGACTACATATTCGCTATGGGTTAAAAACAAAGATGGTGTGTGATCCCATAGTTCATTAGGCAACTCAAATTGTTAGGACATGGCATAAATACAGACAACAGTGATTTAAAAGTCATAATAAAACGTGTAAAATGAAACATAGTAAAGCTAATGCAAACTTTACCCAAAAAAACAACCTAATGCAAGCAAGAAAGCAATAATTAGCATAGCATTGAGATTACCTTTTGCATGTTTCAACACACGGACAATGTTATGAGATTTAGCATCCCAAACTCGAATCACGCCATCCTCCGATCCAGAAATTAAATAATTTCCAGAAATACTGTACACTAAGCAAGTTACAGCATTGCTGTTGAAAAATTAAAATATAAAGTTGTGAGATAAAGGAGGTTAGCTCATTACAAATATATTTTTTAAAAAGTTCCTCGCTCTAATTTATAGTACGCTGATTTTACCAGAAATGCAAAGCCTGTCACAACTGAATGAATGAATGCAGGATTCTTAGAAAAAATGTAGCAATATTTGGCAGGTATACTATACTTTGAAAAAGGAAAATAACACAGTAAAAAGTTAAGAGGCTTGTAATTGAAGAAAAATCATAGGAATAAAAGAAAACTACGTATTGGAATATCTATAAGTGCATGAAATGGTTCACTATAGGAAAAGAGAGGAACCTGTGATTTGAGAAACAATCGATGATATGCAACCCATACTTGCTGTCAGATGTGCTTTCAGCATTAAGTGCAGCAACGTATATCTTGCCATCTCTACCACCGGCAAAGAAGACATGTTCACCAGGATCCAGTGCAATTGCATCAACTATTGTGGGGAAAACAATATTTCTCAAGTGTTTCCCTTTCGATATACTCCAAACCTAAGAAAATGTACATCCAAATCAAAATCAAACACACTAGATGGAGAAAAATGTCAAATACAGTATTTACAAGAATGCATCACTTTTTGTTTTTGGGGGATGAAGAAGAATGCATCATTACGATAATATGAACAAGACATGAAAGAGATATTGTGGGACTTATAAGAAGTATATACTACAAAAAACCAACACAATAATCCTAAGCATTTGAAAAAGTAGAAAATCAATGTATCAAGAGAAACAATCCACACATGAATGGTGAATTCGTGAATCATTCTCTTATAGTTTTACCCAGACCCCATTTTAATTTCCTTAGCCATCATTGTTGAGCATACAATCATTACGTTTTGACAAAACATTATTAGTATATCAAATACAGGTTATAAATTACTAAAGAGCATGCCCTACATTACATGTGCGATCCAGTGACGCAGACACGATAATGGCATTGCCTCCACCATATCCTGTGACGACATCTGTTACACATAGAGTGTGCTCTTTAAAATTATGCTCGTATAGTTGGCTTCGCTGTTGCCTTTGAAAATCATCGAATATTCTGGAAAAAAAAAGATTCAATAAAAAGATATATAGCCATTTTCAGTGCACAATTAACAACTGACATTGTATAAGTACATAAAAAGGTGAAGATAAGAAGTGATTACAATAAAAGGGACCAAACTCTAATGCCTCCATCCTCCGACCCCGAAATTAGAAGAGAGTCATCATCTGAAAATACCAAGCAACTGACAGCTCTGTAGTGAGCATGCCATTTCTTAAGCAGTCTACCACTAGCAACCTAAAACGGACAAAAACGATGCCTATAAGCATTCGAAGGCAAAAAAACAAAAACAAAATTGAACTAAAATTGTTCTGAAAAAGAGAAATTAGAAAGCTTAAGAAAATTAACCTCCCACAAATAGATATTCCCAGATAAACCTCCGCCAACAATATACGTGCCCTCACTGTTAGCAGCGAGCGGCTTGATTTGCTCTGCTGGGAAGCTCTTAACATCAACTTGAGGCTGCATATCAAAATTTCAAAGTTTTAACAACAATGCTAGCTATTAACAGAGGCAATTCATTGAACAGCTTGGATGCATAAGAAAGGAAGGACCTTAGACCAAGACCAGTACTGGACAGAGCCGGAGGCGGAGGGCTCGCGGAGCTGAGACGAGGCGAGGAACCGTTGACCGACGCAGACAAGGCCGTGAGGCGGAGAGGCGCAGAGCTTGTAGCGGAGCTGCTCGGCACCGGTGTGTAGGTCCCAGCAGCCGATGCCTGCTTCGATCGACGACGAAGCCACCACCACATCCATTGAGACTGCCGATGGGTTAGATTGGAATTTTGGCAAAGAGATCGCTACTGGCGTTTTGGTATATCCCGGACAGCTTAACCGAAACGCGCAACTTTGATGGCGTAACGCTCTGAGATTTTGCTAGGGTTTTAGATTGGCGCGTGGCCAGAAACAAAAGCCGGGAAGATTCTCAAAAACGTCGCCGTTGGCATGCGTTAAGTTTCTAATTGTTGTCCACTAATTCCTATTTCCAAGCGAAAGAAAAAAACACAACTAATTCCTTCTTCTTCTTCTTTCTTAATGAAACTAATTCCAATATATGCTTACCAAAAATGGCCCATTTTTAGATCTCCATTTCATGGTTCAGCTCGGCCCAAAAAAGAAGTAGCGTCATGCTACTTATTTAAAGTTTGAGATTAAGTCGAGAGCCCTTGATGCCTCTAATCATTAATTTTATCCAATAGAACTTGTTCTCAGACTCCAGCTATCTTGAAGGAAGCTTAGGAGGGAACCAACTAGTAGACGATTCGATTAGTCTTTCGCCCTTATACCCAAGTCATACGAACAATTTGCACGTCGGTATTGTTGCAGGCCTCCACCATAGTTTTCTCTAGCTTCGTCCCACTCATGTATTATGCATGGTTCACTATCTTTTGAGTCCTGAAACTGTTCCAATTTTTATAAGTTTCTTAAAATGGGTTTTTGTTTTCGAGTTGAACAAAACAGATTTTGCATTTGAGAAAGCATCCTTGTAGGTTTCCTAAATGTTAACCCTGACTAAATCTCAGTTGGATCTTGGGCCGTAGTTGGAGATGGTCTTAAAGATGGCCTATTAGACATAATTAATTCTCAATTATATCTAAAGAGTTTCACTAATATACCCAAAATATGAGTTGAAATTATAATATAAAAAACCCCACATGGAATGCACTTTAGAAATACACCCAAAACTCATTTACTACATAAGAAATTGGTGTTTAAGTTTTTATAAATTACGTGATTGCCATTAATCAACTTTAAAAAAAAGTCCAACACGAAAAATTTAAATAGCACCCAAAATAAACCCATTCCAATTTTATAAAAAAAACCCAAACAATTCATTACAAACAAAACGTCTTGAAAACCATAGCTTCATTAATGTGTCATGTTGATTAATGACTGTAATATTTCACACATTTATTGTCATGTTGATTAATGGCTGTAATGTTCCAGTTTATGGTAATAACACTACTATTTTCCTATGATATCTTATTTCTAATGCATGTCTACCCCTATAATGTTCCAGTCTAGGGTAATAACACTTCTAATTTCCTATGACATCATATTTCTAATGCATGTATACATTTGCAATGTTTTAGTCTAAGGTAATGTTTGTGCCATATATGACCCCCCACTCACGTCATGGCACATGGAGCATAAACAAGGCAAGGACCAGCTTAGTGGGCCATGCCAGGTCGATCGGCATACTCCACCGTTTCATACGTGGTCGGCAAGTTGGAAAAACACCTACAACTGGCACCCTCACCAACCTTCGGCACACAATACCGAGTGACCAGTCAACACATTCACCCGATTATGACAGATAAACCTCGGAACTCCCACCAGAACCTGTCAGGGCACATGTCGATCGCCAAAGACACTCCCACGAGTCTCACATCGAAACTAAGTACTAAGAGCACTACAAATGCTCTCTATAAATAGAGCCATCTAGCCCAACCAAGAGGTAAGACATTTTCGACTTGACTTGTGCTTTCACTCTGTCAATAGAATTACTCTTAGTCACTAATTTTGGCATCGGAGGGTCTTCGGCCGACACCACATCGGTGTCCTAGACCTCACCTACTGTTTCTTTCTCTAGGCTGAATCCAGCACTACGCCTTAAGAAAGGACACTACGGCCCAAAGGCTCCTCGGGTCCAAACCCCCATTCCACTTGTAAGTTAACTATATTTCTATCTGTTTAGTTTTAGCGAGAACAGGTAATAACATTGGTAGTTTACTGTCATGTTGATTAATAGCTGTAATGTTCAAGTCTAGGATAATAACATTACTAGTTTACTGTTATGTTGATTAATTGTTGTAATGTTCTAGTCTAGGGTAATAATACTGCTAGTTTCCTATAAAATCCTATTTCTAATGCATGTCTACCCCCTGTAATGTTTCAGTCTAGGGTAATAACACTGCTAGTTTCCTATGAAATCCTTCCTATGAAATCCTATTTCTAATGCATGTCTACCCCCTGTAATATTCCAATCTAGGGTAATAACACTGTTAGTTTCATATGACATCCTATTTCTAATGCATGTCTAACCCTATAATGTTTCAGTCTAGGGTAATAACACTGCTAGTTTACTATCATATTGATTAATGCTTGTCATGTTGATATTTCTAATACATGTCCAACAAAGAAAAGATGAAGAAATAACAAACCAGACCAACTCAAAACAAGTTAAGCCCAAATTATTAATACTATTATGTCATATATGTACGTTATTAATACTCTGTAATAGAAGTACATTGTTAATACTCTGTCATAGAAGTACATTGTTAAACAAAAATAAAATCCATAACTGAAATAGTAATAAAAGATAAATCAATCATCAAATCTTAAAATATATTTTGAAAATCAACTAAAATCCAAAGAGAAACACATAATTGAAGCAAAAGATCAAAAATCTCAAGTCCAAACCAAACAATGACGACGACAATGATGAAAACAACGACGACGACAACATGGCGAAGAGGAGTAGAGCTAAGAGCATTTGATCAAGTTTCGTTCGAGATCTTGAACAATCCGAAGAAAAAAAAAATCAATAGAAGCACGATTTTAGAACAATAAATCAAAGGTGAAATATTGAAAATTGTATATTAAAGATGAAGAATATAGTTGGACTTGAGATTGAGCTTCAATAGAAGCTCATCTTGCTCCAACACCAGAGAAAACACCAATAAGAAAGGAGAAAATAAATCTGATTTGGTTTTTTTGACAAATTTTGTTTTTTTGCAGATTTGATTTTTCTCTCTCAAATCCATAATACAAGGGTAATATATGTATTTAACACACACAAATTTACTAAAAACAGCTATTAAATTGAAAAAATTGACAAGGTGTGTTTATAGTTTTTAAATAGTATAGAGTTTCTTTATAAGACTATGTCTAAAATTGGGTATATAACTAAATTTCTATTATATTATGTGTGTAGGTTTCCTAAATGTTAAACCCGACTAAATCTCAATTGGATCTTGGGCCTTAGTTGGAGATTGTCTTAAAGATAGCCTATTAGACATAACTGTTAAGTATGATTACATCCTTCATTCCCTTCTTGTGGAATTAAACATGAGAAGTTCATTTCCATGAAGTTTAATTCGCGAACCAAATGGTCCTTTATCATACGTTGAAACATTTTTCAAGTCTAAATTAAATTTCCCATACAAACAATAACTCAATAAACAGCAAAAATATAACGCATGGATTAGATCACATTTGTTAGCTACCGCGGACGCATTACATCCCTTGAGCATATTATAACAAATATATATGCACCAGGACTTGTTTTTCTTCACATGGATTCACATGTTTATATGGAGCCCACATTTACATTCTAATTTTCTGTTTAACAAAGCTTTCACATAAATAACACCAACTACATAAGACTTCTCAATTTAACAAAGGTTAGACGAGTTGGTTAAGAGCATTGTAAATGTGGGTTAGATATTAATTACATATATTTATATTTATTTTAATTTATCGATTTATAATAACATAGACTTAATATTTAATTTGGCATCATAGGCGCGCGGTGCCAACTGTGATATGTCTGTCAGTTAATTAAGTTCCTCGCTGTTTCGTCTACCCAAAACTTTTCTCCCACACACACACACCCACCAAACACAAGCACAAACATTTACCCACTAATTAAACATTAAAATCAGCACTTTTGTCTTCCCCTCCATTTCAGTAAGGTATAATATTACTCCAACTCCCCACCTTAACTCAAACCCCATCCATCTACACTCTCCTTTTTCAGAGCACCCCCCTCCATTACAGCACGGCAATTGAAGACGACGACCCAAACAAACCCCACACAATGCACGCCAAGACCGACTCGGAGGTCACGAGCCTCGCGGCGTCGTCCCCCACCAGATCTCCGCGCCGCCCAGTCTACTACGTCCAGAGTCCCTCACGTGACTCGCACGACGGCGAGAAGACCACGACGTCGTTTCAGTCCACCCCCGTGCTCAGCCCCGTCGGCTCCCCGCCCCACTCTCACTCCTCCGTCGGCCGCCACTCCCGGGAGTCCTCCTCCACCCGCTTCTCCGGGTCCCTGAAACCCGGATCCAGAAAGATCAACCCCAACGACGGGTCGCGCCACCACCGGAAGGGTCAGAAGCCGTGGAAGGAGCAGGCCGTGATCGAAGAGGAAGGCCTTCTGGAAGGCGAAGAGAGGTCCAAGGGCTTTCCTCGCCGCTGCTATTTTCCCGCTTTCGTCCTCGGCTTCTTCCTCCTGTTCTCTATGTTCTCTCTGATTCTCTGGGGTGCCAGTAAGCCCATGAAACCCAAGATCACCATGAAGGTTGGTTGGATTATCTCGTCCTGAAGCTCCATTTCGATAATTGAATTTCTGGGTCGTTAGTATTCGCGTTAATTTTGTTTAATTGCAGAGTGTTACGTTCGAACAGTTCAAGATTCAAGCTGGCTCGGATGCTACTGGTGTGGCCACTGATATGATCTCAGTCAATTCGACAGTGAAGTTCACATTTCGCAACACTGGCACATTCTTCGGAATGCACGTCTCGCCAAAACCCCTAGATCTATCCTACTCCCAAATCACCATAGCCTCTGGAACTGTAAGTCCATCGACTCTCAGTTTCCATCGCTAAAAGCAAAAACGTTTTGAACTTTCATCAATTGCATTGTTAATCTCAATTGGGTTCTGCAGATTAAGAAGTTTTATCAGTCGAGAAAGAGCCAGAGATCGATCTCTGTGTCAGTGATCGGCAATAAAATTCCGCTGTATGGCAGTGGCGCGAGCATGAGCACCTCAACAGGGACGACGGCGCTGCCAGTGCCTCTGCAATTGAACTTCGTGATTCGATCTCGAGCCTACGTGTTGGGCAAGCTGGTGAAGCCAAAATTCAACAGGCGAATTCAGTGTTCTGTAACTTTCGATCCCAAAAAGCTCAACGTTCCAATCTCGCTCAAGAATTGCACCACTAGTTGATTGACAGAAAAGGAGGAGGCGCACATAAATTATAATTTTTTATTCTTTCTTTGTTTCTTTTCGTTGAAGACTAAAAGAGAACAAGTAGTGGCCAACTCAGCGGGCAAGTTCTAGAGTTGTACGGGCACACCGGGCAGAGAGTGAGAAAACGCGGTTTTGGGCCTTTTGGGCTGCCCGAGTGCCCGGAGAGTGTTGATTACAGGTTGTATTTTTACGATATTGCGTAGTCATATTACCTTCTCTCTTGTTTATTTATCTCTCTTTTCTTTTTCTTTTTCTTTTTCTTTTGTAAAAGTAAGAAATTATATATTTATTCTCAATAATGCAAATCTCATTCGTTAGGGTTAGGTGGTTCTGTAATTGTGATTAGATAATTGTTTTGTTTTAAACTTTTATATAATGAAATATATAATAAGATTTATAGCGAGTGCAAAGGGTTTCAAAAGCATCTCCACCATGTGGTGATGATGGTAAGGCGAATTTTGGCACCGAAAACTGGCCAGCATTTTCTATCAGCTGAAGACTGATCTACCGCATTTATTTATCAAATCATGTGTTTGACAAATTAAGTCAAAAATCCATGATGAAACTAGTCATTGCAATAGACATTGTCCATGCCCATTCCCAAGACAAACTTTTGATTTTTACTATCACACCGACATTGGGGGAAGGGGATTCGAATACATAACCTCAAGTGCATGGATAACTATTCTTAATCACTTGAGCTACAAGCCCGTCTCACTAAATCAAATTTCATTAAAAAATAATGATAATTTATAGAATAGAACTAAGTTTTATACCTTCTGTGGGTGCAAAACATGGACCGGGCTAGAAAACCATTATCAGGCCCATGAATGAGTCGCCCATATTGGACCGCCAGCCCGGTACAGAGGTCCAACTAATGTAGGAGTCAAGTCAACTACCGCGAAAGGTCCTTCCCCTTGCTGGTAAAATGTGCTAAATTTACGAAGTTGCCCACAAATTGCAAATTGATGATAAATAATAAAAATATTAATGAGGACAAGCGATAAAAATTAAAGATGGAATCTTCCCACGGCCAGTTCGCCAGTTGTGCATATGACACAAGTAACCCCCTCCCTCCCCTTCTCTCTCTCTCCTCTCTCTCTCTCTCTCTCTCTCTGCCTCTGGAGGATCAATTTAATTCTGAAATTTGTGTGTGTCTCGGACTCTCTCAGCTTCATGAGTTATGGCTCTTTCTCAACACCACTTTCAACAGCACTACCAACCCCAACAACAACAACAATCTTCTAAGTCTTTCAGGTAATTTTCTTCTTCTTCTTCAAATTCCTCTAATAATAATTTTTCCATTTCTTTTTTTTAAGCTTCTTTTTTTTTTCTTCACATTTTTGTTGTAGAAATTTGTACACAATCGACGGTCATATGACGCCGGCGATGGCCTATTACGACCCCAGCACTTTACAAGATCACTCGCAGCATCCCCCTTATGTTCCACCCTGTAATTTCTCTTTCCTCCTCTTTTTTTTATATTCTCCGTTTGGCTGCCGAGAATTTGTAACAAACTATAGCTCAGAAATTGAAAATTCATTGAAAAAGTTATCTTCTTGCTGCGAATTTGAGCTAAATTTATCATCTTTTAGGAACTAAACTGCAGAAAGCACGAGATTTTAATTAATTAAGGCTTTATTTTTCTTATCTTTCCCTAATTGTCTTAGCAAGGGCCTTGTATCTTTTCTTTAACCTTCAGCTTGTGCAACATTACCTAAAATTAGCGGTATTTTTTTAGTTCATGTAGTAGGGTTTGCACCCGGTCCAGTCGCTGCAACAGACGGCAGTGATAATGGAGCTGATTTGCAATGGCAATATGGCTTCGAATCCAAAAGGAAAAAACTCAAGGAACAGGATTTCTTGGAGAACAACTCACAGATATCGTCTGTTGAGTTACTGCAACCGAGATCAGTCTCCACGGGCTTGGGTTTGTCCCTTGACAATACTAGAATGGCTTCTACCGGGGACTCGGCATTGCTGTCACTCATCGGGGATGACGTGGATCATGAGCTACAACGACAGGATGCTGAGATTGATAGGTTCCTCAAGGCTCAGGTCTGGTTTCTTTGCAAAGACCTTATCTTGTTGCTTTGTTGAATATATTGTAGGAACTGATTTACATGGTTGCAAAAGGATTTACTATTTAGTGTTTATAAGAGCATGGTTTACTTAATCTGCTCATAACTGGTCTCCCAGTTTCATATATGTTTATAGTGGGATTGTGTCATTGTTTGCCTGATCATGTCATGTTTGTTGGGTTTACGTGTTGGTTTGAACATCTAAAGTTTTTATCGCAGTTTCATGGATTTCGTTTCGAATGATTTCATTCTATAAAAGCATGGATTGATTTTCAATTAATGATATGTATGGTGTGATACGTTGTTAAGTTTAGTCTAAATCCTATTGGCTAAGTAATATTTCAACAGTGTTCAAAACCCAAAGCATATAGGTGTAGCATAATAATCTAATCTGCAGTTATGGAATGTCTTTTTACATTTAAGGTCATTATGATTAGAGTCTGTGTCATGTAATTCAATACAAGATGCTACTCAAAAGATTATCCAACTTATCAAATACATTTGACGGTTGAACACCATGGATAATGTTTGTGTCCATTTGGAGTATGATGTTCGTCACAATATATATATAACCAAAAGATCTGCCATGTGTTACTAAATTTATGGCAGATCTTTTAATAATAAATATCTTTGCCCAACCGTAGTTTGACAATTTTGATTCTTCCTTTGCACCGATGTAGATACAATCCAACTGTGAACTGTATTGAATAAATTGGAATCATTAATTTAACAATGGGAGGCTGAATTAATTAAACTGAGCTAGATTTTGCACAAACCTGATATTTGTCTAATATTGCAAGTATTCCATTTTGATGGAGGATCCTTGTGGTTAATGCCTATTTATACTGGTGAGTCCTTCAAAGATGATTTGTTGCCAATGGTGCTTATGGACGTAGAAGATGTGATGGTGTGAAGGAAAGTTTAGTTCTGTATGTTCATGGTTAAGTCCTCTTTTGCTTGTTAGATTCCTTGTGGGGGGTTTTGTCTGTCTCACTTCGATGCCATCTTTTAGGAAGGTTTGGGAACTACGTTATGCTATATTTATGTTGCTTGTGTGGGAGATACTCCCAGAGAGTTTGGATGTATGAGGGTTGACAGCTGTTGTTTTGGCAAGAAATAAGTTATTGAAATGGATAAAGAAGTAGTTTTCTTATTCTAGTAAATCTTGCAACTTCTTTTTTCCTCAAGGAATCTCTCTGGGATTTCTGTGTTGGCCCTTCCACTTTTGGCTTGCTGTGGGTCACCATTGCTTTCTGGTGGTTGCTTTTCATGTGCACGTGTTTACTCACTAGGAACGACAACATTTTTATAATTCTTCTAAATTAAATTTAAATATCTTTTTTCCTATTTATAGGGTGACCGATTGCGGCAAAATATCCTGGAGAAGGTCCAAGCTACCCAACTTCAGACTCTCTCGGTTGTAGAAGAAAAAGTCCTTCAGAAGCTGCGAGAGAAAGAAGCAGAAGTGGAGAGCATTAACAAGAAGAATATGGAGCTTGAAGAACGAATGGAACAGTTGACTGTTGAAGCAGGTGCTTGGCAACAACTAGCCAGACGCAACGAAAACATGATATCATCTCTAAGGTTCAGTCTTCAGCATGTATATGCTCAAAGTAGAGATAGTAAAGAAGGATGTGGTGACAGTGAGGTAGATGATACAGCTTCTTGCTGCAATGGCCGTACCCTCAATTTTGATATGTTTTGCAAGGAGAACAATGACGTGAAAGAGATGATGACTTGCAAGGCCTGCAGAGTCAATGAAGTGTGCATGCTTCTATTACCTTGTAAGCATCTTTGCCTATGTAAAGATTGTGAAAGTAAGCTCAGCCTTTGTCCTCTGTGTCAGTCCTCTAAGTTTATCGGCATGGAGGTATATTTGTAACGCATTATGCGTCAAAGCTCTTATTTTCATGTCGAAGTCATATGTCTTAAGTCATATGCATTGTTGTTGTCATCTGATGATTGCTCGCTTGAGCACAAGACTGCCATTATTTGGCCATCCAAAAATAGGGCTTAAGAGCAAAGAGCTACATTGGCATTAGCCGTTTTGTGAATAGTAGCATGATTCTAAATATTCTTATACTCTTATATATGTTTATTTCTATATGAATTCTGAAATACTTTGTTTCGACTTACTGAACAAACATCAATCAATTGAACCTTCCTTTTGAACCTCCCAAAAGGGCTCCTTTGAACCTAAATCTTAGATATTCTGTAGCTGCTGATGTTTAAAGCATACTAGTTTTCTTCATAATGTAAATTGGCGACATGCCATTTCTATATATGATTTGATTTGTGTCTGAGATTGTTACGTAATTTGATTTGTGTCTTCTTTGGTGCAATAACTTGTATGGGGTGTCAAATTTAGGAACTCGAAAAGTAGGAGAGTGGTTAGCCAACTGTGAAGTGAACCATTCATGATTCATGAACCATATGAGCAGGATTGTATTACGTAGCTGCATTTGATTGGTCAATTATTGCTTGTGACACAATGACTTGAGAGTTGAGATAATTGTTATGTTGCTTTCTTGTACAAGCAATTAGCTATGTTTGCTGAACAATACAGTATGTAACTTGCAAGGCTCTAACACCTCTCTTGTATACTCCACCTGCTAAACGCATTTATGGGTGAGAACTGAAAAAATGTTGTATGAACTGGTTTGACACGGCAACCCGTTAATAGTTAGAGGAAAGCATGTTCATGGGCCTAATGAAGCAACTGAACTGGCCTGCAATGGGACATGATAACGTCCGGCCCATTTTCTTGTTAATTTCTTTTCTTTCCAGCCCTCCAAACAGGGCCAAGAAACCCTTGTAGCTGGATTTCTATGATACGCAACCCACAAGGAGATTAAGAAAAGTAGCTGAGCCAAGCCAGTTAGCCTAAGAAAAGTAGCCCACTGTGATATAATAATTTACCTTTAAATTCAATGGTAATAATAAAAGTATGAAATGAATACAATTTTCCACCCGAATATTATAATATGGTATGAATCTTGGGGAGGAAGGTAATAGTTTTGGGTTGGTGTTAGAGAAAAGTGAAGGGAGGGAAATTGAAGTTGCTTTTGGTGGAGGGAGGGAGAAGATTGATCAACTTTTTTCTAATCATGCCTTAGAAAGTGATGACAAAGAGGAAAGTGAATATGCTTCCCCCATGATTGTAAAACTATTATCTCTCTCTCTCTCTCTCTCTACCAAATTGCAACTAGCAACTCCATTATTATTGCTATTATTATTTCTATTATCATTATTATTTCCACCTCCACTTCCACCACCGCAAACCCCAGCCGAACTATAAGTCCTGTCATACTCAAGCTCATGCACTTTTTTTTTGCCTTTTTTTTTCTTTCTCCCTAATTAACTACATCAACATGACCTACCTCTCTCTCTCTCTCTCTCTCTCTCTCTCTCTCTCTCTCTCTCTCTCTCTCTCTCTCTCTCTCTCTCTCTTTTAATTTCCTAAAAGTCCGTGAATGAATGAATGAATTAGCCTAGATGGGTTTATTACATATGAATTAATTTCCATATTTATTTATTTATTGAATTGAGGAAGAGGATCAAGATTGAAACTTTACCTGATCAGTTCAATCATTCCAACCCCTCCTCCTCCTTATTCCCTATAAAGCTGTGGATTTTATTTTGGTTCACTTTCTTTTATTTCTTGTTTCTATTGTGGGGACTTTGCCCAGCCTTTTCATGGCTTCATTCCACTTTGTATCTCTTTGCCTTCTTTTCACCAGACGTTCGTATGTTAGTGAAAGTATATTTGGGGCTCCAGCTTTATATTCTCTCACAGTCAAAAGTTATTCCATCGATCCCATTTCATTCTAAAGTGAATCCATGAGCTTTTCTGATCGCCATATATATCTTCAATACATAATATTCTTCTTTTTTTTCCTTTTTTGCCATTGTATTTGGGTGTGTGAGATTTTATCAATTTGGAATTTTTAATTTGTTTTCAGCAAAGAATTCAAACAAGGTAATAATTATTAAGAAAGTAGTAGGTTTAACAATTGAGTTTCATTATTAGATCATTGTGGTCCGTCTAAATCAACTGTTATCTAGATACGATACACCCAATGCCAATGAGACAGATAATTGCACAAGGGAAAAAGAGGTTCGCATATCTCCTGCGTAAGAAACACTTCTTCTTCTTCTTCTTCTTCTTCTCCTCCAAATTGTTGAATGCTATATAATTTCAAATAATATATGAGTGCATGCATGGCCCCCGCCAAGACCCCCAAAAAAAAGAAAAGTTGTTCAATATTTTTTTGTTTTTTAGAAAAAGAAAGAAAAAAAAAGACAACGTCTAATTCGATCAGTCATCCAAATAGAACACTTTACAGTTCAAAGTTCCACAAGCATTAGGAGATTGTCTCATATATTTGTACGTATCCCATGGTGTTTGGAGGGACGTGAGACAATTTCACCCTTCTCTGCAAATAAAAGCCAAATTTGAGTGTGTCACATGGACATAGGTTGTTCCAATGTTGGTTTCAACTTTTGGCAAACAGTAGCTTATAATATATATGTTGGTGGTCCTAGAAATAGAAGTAACCCACCTTAACTTCACGTCCCTGTCCATAAGCTCTTCAGATCCTACTTAGAACCTCTAGTGCTCATCAACATTAATTTATCTTCTTCAATGCGTTGAACTTGAGGCGTGTGATTTGCATGGTGAATCAATCAATATAACCACATTTTGTGCATGCCTTGCCTTATCTTCCTTTTTTCCTTTTTCGAATTATAAAGTACCATATGTTAGCAAAACATCTTGAATGATATCGGGAAGATCTCCATACCACAAAGAAAGGTTGTAATATAACGACAAAGAAAACTGAGCTAATCTTTCCAATTTTATGTTATAAATGAGGGTGACCATTGGACATAATATGACAATAAGTTAGGTGTAACATATATATTATGCCACGATATAATATGATTTGTGTATCGGATCGTTTAGAAACTTTATGTCTGATGACATGATTGAGCAGCCAAAAAAGGGTTTCCTTAGTGGATAATTAGTTGGCAATAATATTTGTATGATTATGGAAATATATGTGTAGTAATTAAAAGAAAGTAAAAGAAAATTGTATGAAACAAAATTAGCACATGCAAATGCCAAGCAATGATCAATTTGTGATGGCTTCATAATAATCAATCGATCAATGAGGAATCCATATGATCGATTACGATATGGATATGGATATGGCTATTTTGAATATAAATAATTAAATTTCACCGGATTTCGATGATGAGAAGGGGGTGGGGGGGCTTACCATTTTTATATGATGCATTATTGGCTGGCATCAGAAGCAGAAAAAATGCCACTTTAAGCACTTTGCTTTGTGTAAGTAAATGGACGTGAGACTCTGAGAGAGAGAGAGAGAGAGAGAGAGAGAGAGAGAGAGAGAAGAGAGAGAGAGAGAGAGAGAGAGAGAGAGGGAGAGGTGGGTCTTGTTCTTGTATATGCATGAAATGATGGTGAGGATGATGGAGGGCCCCACATGAGCTTAATTCATCATCTCATGGGAATCCCTTGGATTGAGGAAGTATATATTTAAGCAAAATTAATTCGTAATTTGCAGCAGCAGCCTTGAGAGCCCTGCGGGGCCCAAAAATTTCAAAGACCTTTTCTTTATGAAGGAACGTTCATGAGCCACCACAGTATAAAAAGAAGAGAAGAGAAGAAGAAAAAGGAATGTGATGTGCATGTGATCCAACAGCCTTTATGTTCCCCTCTACTTGTAATTCTTTCTTTCTTTCTTTCTATTCTATTCTAACTTGCAAATCACACAAAAAAACCAACCATTCTAACATTCCCTTTTCTTCTGTGCATATTATGATGTGGTATATGTCTTTCTTTTTTGACATTCGGTGACTCATACTTTTTTGGCTAATCATGTTTAGGTCATACATAGATTAGATTGTACTACTATAACTTATTTAATTGGGGGTCCCCATCTTTATAAGACATGCGAGGTCGGCCATGGTTGATAATATGGCACCGATTCAAAGTATGTTATTAGTGGAATCTTAGGCTCCAAATATCATATCATGCATGTAGAAACATCACCATCATCAATGTTTATATTGTCTTTAACTTGCTAAGCAAGAACAAATGCCAGTTATTACGCCAGTTGATTAAGTCAGTGAGTTCGTCTCCTTACACCCAAGTTCGAATCTTCATGTTCATAGAATTTAGATATGTTTAGAGTATGGTTTGTATAAAAAATTAAAAGAACACCTTGATGTGCAAGAGTTTGTAGAATATATATATATATATATATATGTTTAGAATATACTATCAAATACTCTTATTTATGTATGACTATTTGAATACAGTCCCTCTCACACGTTTATAGAAGGATCTCTTTTTAACGTAGAAGATGAATGAATGTCTTTAACAAAGAAAGAAAAAAAGAAAAGAGGGGAAAGGAAAAAAGAGATAAGAAAAAAAGGAAAGGAAAGGGAGAAAGATAGTGGATGAAAGACAACTCTTGTTCTTCTCTCCTTTTAATGTAATTCTAAAGTGAGTTAAAATTAACTTTTTTATTCGTTGAAAAAGAAAACGGAGGCCATGCAAGTCTATACATTTTTTTTAAACCTTTGGGTAGAGCTGCTTTTTAACGTCTTTTTTCAAGAATTGAACCTTTTGCATGGAAACTAAATCTAAATTATTGCTCTAAACTATTCTTTTAACCTTTCATCTGTCTGTGTGTATATATATATATAGAGACATACACACATATAGAACTAGTACTTCTTCTTCAATTATTTCATTTGGGTCCAATAGATATGACTTTCTCGTGCACAAAGATTGGGGATCAAAACCTAATTTTAATTAAGGTAATTCGAAATCGTTTAGTGCGAAGTTCTAAG